TCGTGGAAGGGGTTAAACCTCAGGGTGTAAAATGCAGGGCCGTGCCCTCCCCTCCAGGGCCTCTGTGGATGGCCATGGTGTTCTTTCCCCAAAGCAGGTTCAGGGACCCTCCAGGGGCCTGCAGTCTGCAGATCAGGGCTGGCACAAGAAGTGCCATCTCTTCACAGTTCTGGGACTCCCGGCAGGGAGCCATCCCTCAGGCACCCTGGGCAGCCAGGGTGTGATCTTGAATTGTTTTTACACTTCAGTGCTCCCGACTTTCCCCAGGGCCTGGCAGCCTCTTCCGTAAATCAGATCTCAGACTGGTTGAAGAAGGTTTGTTTTATTATTTTTCTTTAAACTGTTTAAAGTCTGTATGCCTTCTATGTAACTGAAATATCCTCATCTGCGGGTATGATACATTTTTATTTTACTTTAATATTACTATTTTTTGTGTGGTGCTAGAGATGAGACCCAGGGCATCCACACACAAGGCAAGTGCTCTACTACTGAGCTACTTCCCCAGCGTTTAAGAATTTTCGTTTTGAGCCAGATTCTGGCTAAGTTGCCCAGCCTGCCCTTGAACTTGTGATCCTCCTGCCTCAGCTGGGATTCCAGGGCTGCGCCACTACACCCAGCTCAGCTGAGTATCTTAATGCCTTTGTTCATCCCATAGGACCTTACTTATCTATTTATGTGCTGGAATTGAACCCAGGCCTTCTTGCATGCTAAGCATGTGCTTTACTGCTGAGCATGGATGATCTGCACACAGCAGACTTTCAGCCTCAGCAGTGTCGATGTTTGGGAACAGGTCATTGTTTGTGTGATGTGGGGCTGCCCTGTGCATTGTAGGGTGTGTAGCAGCATCCCTAGCCTCCATCCATTAGATGCCAAGCAGTCCCTTTCCCTGCTGTCCCCAGCTGTGACAGTTGGAAATATCTCCAGTCATTGCCAGGTACCCCCTGGGGTACTCCCGCCATGAGAAGCAGAGGTGCCGGTGACAAGCCCAGCCCCTCTTCATCACACCCCTCCACCTCACCCTTCTCCCTACAGCAGTTTCTGGTGTGTGTTTGGAGAGTGTGTCTGTACCAGTGGATATATGCAGTATAGGTAGTTGTGTGTTTCTTTTGTTTGCTTTACTGTGACACCAGCGATTGCAGATTATACAGGAATCCATGATATTCCAAATTGCTTTCTTACAGGCAGAAGCCTGGGACCAGGAGGAGAGGTGACCAGCTTTGTGAGCTGTGTTCCATTTAGTACCATGTGGGGACAGAGTGGATTTTCTCATAGCCCTTTGCCCTGCACATTGGATCCTTTGACAGAGTCTGATTTCCAGGTTGTCACCTGAACGTGCTGGTCCTGTTTATCATTTCCTGCCCTGGTCCCCATTAGAAACCCCACAGGGAAGAATGCTGAAGAGCCACATTGGCTTATGTTGACCTCTGAATTTCCCCCTTGGTTTTCAGGTAGGCGGTGAAGGGTGGAGTTACCGGGTTTTCAGGGACAGGGCTTGTTGAGCTGTTTGGCAAAGATCAGATGAGCCTGGGTGTCAGCCAAGGGCCTTGGCCCTGGCCAAGACGCCAAGGCCTCTGACTACATTAGGAGAAAATATGTGGCCTGCTGTTTTCCTGGAAGGTTCTTGCATGTTCTTTCCACTGGTAAATTCTTGTGCTCCAAGGATGAGGCGCTGTTTACCCAGTGGTAGGGGTGATGGAAGACAGGCCAGGCGGGCAGATCAGCCTGGGGATGCCATCCAGGGGGCGAATGGGGCTGCCGTTCTCGAACAGAGTCTGGCATTTGTCATGTCCACTTAGTGCCCTTTCCTGAAATAGCAGCCCCAAGCAGCTTGTCAATGGCTAGCATTTCCCATCTCAGATAATTTGTGAGCTTCTTGCCTTCTACTTACCTTGTATGTCTCTTCTTTGGAATAATTATTACCCCATGATTGTCTGTTGTGTAGTTCTCTACTGACTAGATAGTGAGGTCACAGAGACGCGGGCCATGTCGTTTAATGCTGGCATCCCCAGAGCAGAGGGAACTTGGCAAATGGTGCACATTTGGCAAATACATGTAGTTGAATGAATGAAATGAGTTGTAGCAGTCCGGAACTATCTTGTATGTGACAGAACCTCACTCAAATCAACTGCAGTGAAAAGAGGCAGGAGGAGTTTTGAGCCGCAGAACTGAGTAAGAAAGTACTTGTAAGCATGCCTGGGGGTTTGGAATGGCTGGATCTAGATGTGTCTGAGATAAAGTTGGGAATAACTCTCCACTCTGCTTTCTTCATGGCAGATTCTTTGTCAGCCACTAGTTCTCGGTTATTCTATTACCTCAGCAACCCCTGTGAGCAGAGAGCCCCAATTTTGACCACCCCACGCTCCCCCAGGAATTCTTACTAAACTCTGCAAGATGGTCTCCTTGGTCACACGTTGGTCATCACCTGCTTACCCCTGGGCCAGGCACTGGGCCTGTAGACAGGATGCTTGGACTGAGGCACTCAGAGGTTGGGCCTGGAAGCTCAGTTCCCAGAGAAAGAGTGGGGTGGCTCCAGAGCCAGAGTTGCAGATGCTAGGCGGCATGCTACAGTATCAGAAGTGCTACGGAGTTTTTAAAAAATTGTGTCTGAGTAACAAGGAGGGTTTGCAGAGTCTCACCAAGAAGGTGCCATTTGAGTGCAAACCTGATGGCAGTAAAGAGGCCAGGCAGGGAGAGGGGGGAGCAGATACCCAAGCCCTGTGGTAGGGCTCTGCTGCCCACATGGAGCCTAGCACAGAGGAAGCAAGGAGAATGGGGAAAGGGAGGCAGGCAGGTGGTCACCGATGAATCAGGTCGACCCTGGCCTTGGGTTAAGACTTTGGATTCTGTGCCAAATAGAGTTGGTTGACTTCAGAGAGTTGTGTGTGGTTTCTTTGTTTAGAGATGTAATCACGTTTAAGTGTATGACCCAGTATTCTTCATATAGGTGGTACAACCTTCACTACTAATTCCAGAACATTCTCATCGCCCCAGAAGGAAGCCCTACACCAATAGTAATTGCTCCCCACCCCATGACAACTACTAATCTGTTTCCTGCCTCTGGGTGTTTGCCTGTTCTGGACATTTCACATATAGGGAAGCAAACTCTAGGTGGCTTTCTGTATCTGTCTGTCTTGCAGCCTGATGTTTTCAGGTTCATCCTTGTTGTGACATGTGTAGGAATTGCATTCTCGGCCCAGGGATGTAGCTCGCTGGTGGCGTCCTTGCCTAGCGTGTACAAAGTTCCATCCTGGAAAAAAATTGCATTCCTTTTGATGGCTGAATAATAACTCCACTGTGTGGATATATTTTGAGGGTTTTGAGTAAAGGATATCTCTGAGGGGGAGAGGGATGGAAAAAGCTTTATCAGTGGGTACTAAGTTACAGTTAGGAGCAAGAAACCGTTGAGCTATTGCACGGTAGGGTGGCAGTGATGCCACGTTCAGGAAGCTAGAAGGAAAGAATCAAAATGTTTTTACTGTAAAGAAATGAGAAACAATTGAGGAGTTAGATCTGTTTAGCCTCATTTAAACATTACAGTGAGTAATAGGTTCAACTTTCATGTGGTATATCAGTTAAAAATAGATTGGAGAAAAGTGGGTTTTGTAGAGTATCCTCGGGTTCGAGGCTGGTGCATCTTGGCCTGTGGCTGTGCCGTGTGGAGGAGCTGCTTTGCACCAGGGCCTTCTGTCGGGTTGGCTGACTTGTTACTGCCAGCGTCGGGACTGGTGGCACCAGGCACTTGCCCTCTGCTCCTAAGGGACACAGGGCCCACAGAGCAGAGACATGGCAGGGCAGGTGGTTCTAATCTCTGTGACCTTCCAGGAGGTAGCAGTGAAACGATGCAGCTGAAATCCTGAAAACAGACAGGACCCTGCCAGCCCCAGCGGCAGGGCTTAGGTGTGTGCCTGTTCTGACCCCCGCCATCTGCCCTGAGCGCCAGGTTCATTCTCCTGGGGATGCTTTGGAACAGAGGCCGGGGCCCAAGGTTTCCAGATCCCTTAGGATGCTGTGTCCTGGAGGATACCATGGGGTCCCGTTGGTGACTCCACCTGGTGACACTTGGGCAAGAGTGGCTTCCCCAAACCACCCATTCCTCTTTACCTCTCTCCTTAGCCAGGCTTCCAGGCTGGGTTTGTCAAGGGGGAAAGGAAGCACTTGATGGGTAATACACTACCACTCCCAGACCACCTAGCCTGATTGCAGGAGGTCTTTACGTCTTGGGGGTCAAGCCCGGGAGCTTCCAGGGCTTGGGGTGAGTCTGTTTGTGGGGGCAGATGGGCTTCCCCAGAACCATACCCATGTCTTTTTTTTTTCTTTTTTAAAGTATTTCTTTTCCTTGAAGCATAAAGTCATACACTGTATGAGACAGAAGGAACTTTAAACGGAGACATGTATCCTCCGTCCGCATGTCATGCAGGAGTGAGTTGAGGCCATGGGAGAAGAAATAAACCTGCCTGAAGTTGCCTTTAGTGTCCCTAATGCCAGGGATCATTTATACTTGGCACCGTGTGTGTGGAACAAGGTCCCTGCGAGAAGGTGGCGCTTTGGTGTGCAAGATGGACAATAAAAGTGTCTACAATTATTATACAAGGCAGTGAGAGGTGCAGGGAAGGAAAGTAAGCCGGGGTCAGGCTGGAGTGCCGGGCAGGGTGCACTGGGGCAGGTTCAGGGTCCTCGAGGGAGGGGAAGGCTAGAACATGACTGGGGTAGGGGTCCAGCAGCGGGGACACACACACACTTGGTGATGCCCAGGAGCGGGGGTGCCCTGCAGTGTCCCTGAGGAAGTTGGTGGGAGCCGCTGGGATTTGGGGCCCCGTCATTCATTATCCAGTCAATCTGTGACAGTTTAGTTAGCACCTGCTTGGGCAGATGCCACCTGAGGCATTGGCCACTCCCTGCAGTGTGGCCTGGTCACATGGAGGGGTGGCCATGTGTCCCTGGGGCCGTGGTTGTGACCCTCATTCGGGCACAGCATGCAGCGCTCGGTGTCGTGCTTGCAGGTGGCCCTGTCTACGTTTGCCGTCTACGTGACCATCGACAAGAGCAATGTCCTGGATGCCCAGAAAGCCTTCGTGTCCTTGGCCTTGTTCAACATCCTCCGCTTCCCACTGAACATCCTCCCTATGGTCATCAGCAGCATCGTGCAGGTATCGAGGGGACAGGGCAGAGGCAGCGCCTCGGGGTCAGGGACAACATGAAGGACACAGAGATCCCGTCCCCTGTGTGTCCCCTCTGCCTTACCCACCCCGTGTGCCCTTGGGCTTGGCAGGGCCCGGACTCCAGGTGTTTGCTGTTTTTGGTCATGGCCCAAAGAAAGACATTATACTTCTTTTTGGGAACCCACAGTTGAGTGTATGGATCAGAAGGTTAATGCGACAAGGCCTTCCCAGTCTTCTGGAAGAATGTTTCTGAAATGTTCTCTGCCGCCCTGGCCTACCCTCGCCTGCTTTTTCAAAAACACAACTCTTGACACACACACACACACACAAACACACACACACACACACACACACACACACACACACACACACACACAATTAATTTCACAGCCCCCCTTGAAACTCCCAGCCCGGGTGGTACTTTGTCACATTTTGAAGCCCCTGCCTGGGGCTGGTGTTTCCTGCTGGTGCTTTTCACATTTTTCTCTTTAGCTTTGCACATATTCAACTCGGTTTTTAGCTACAGAGACAGCTCACCCTGAAGACCTGATTACACGGCTCTGATTGTAGGCTTTAACAAAAGCAGAGCACCCTTTCCATTGGGAAAATTTTCAAATGTACATAGAAGTAGAAGGAACGGAATGATATGAGCTCACGTTCCCGTCTCCTAGGCCCAGCATCCGCGTTTTGCCACACTAGCTTTGTGATCCTCCTTCCCTCCCTCCTCTCTTCATTCCTCTCTCTCTTTGCTGAAGAATTTTAAAGCAAATCCCAGACCTCTTGACTCCTGCCCATAAATACTTGAGTGTGCATTTCATCTTACATAATTGTAGCACCGTTATCATACCAAACCCAATTGCCAGTGATTTCTTAAAATAATACTCAGTCTCTGTTGAAGTTTCCTGAGGTGTCCCAGAGTCGTTTCAGTGGCTGGTTGCCTCTCTCGCCTTGGGTTGTTAGGTTTGTGAAGTCCTTTTCAGTTGCACAGCAACCTCTACCTGCCGCCCCCCATTACTGCCTTTTATGGCCTTTTGAAGTAAAACAAGAAGCAAAACCCACTTTATTTTTTATTCTGAAGCAGATCCTCTGTGCGAACCCTTGAGTACTAGGGGAGGATGTGGCCTCTCCCCGCCCAGGGGAACACTGAGTCAGCTGGCGTGGGTTGTGCAAAGTGCTTTTTAAAGTTAACCACGCTTTCTGTGTCACTGCTTTCTGTGTAGGCCAGTGTCTCCCTCAAACGCCTGAGGACCTTCCTTTCCCATGAAGAGCTGGAGCCTGGCAGCATCGAGCGGCAGTCTGTCAAAGACGGTGTGTGCCATGGTCCCCACCTCCTGCCACACAGCTCCCCGACCCCAGCCTTGCTCGCCCTTGGCTGTCCTTGGGCTCCCATCTGCCCAGCAGCTTGACTGAAAGACATCAAGGAGCTAGGCCTCTGCAGAGTGGGCAGGCAGGATGGGAAGCCAGGTGCCGCAGAATCCCCCAGGCCTCTTACTTCACACATCCCAAGGGGATGGACCTACACTTTTGCCTCCTTGCTGAGAGGGAGGCTCTGGCTGAGGCCTTCGCTGGAGTCGGGTTCCTGGGCCTGGACCTTGATTCTCTTCTGAGCAGATGGACAGGCAGAGTAAGGACTTGGGGACCAGCCAAGCTGCACCACCCACAAGCCGTGTCTGTATGGGTCTGAGCCTCAGTTTCCTCATGGGGGTGATGGAAATGGAAATACCTTTCTCTGGCAGGGTTTTCTATGGGTTTTCATTGGCAGGTTGGTTTGTTTAATAGACTGTTATTTTACCCTTTCCCAGCTGGCTCCTTGGGCAGGGGTTTTGTCATTGCCGTCTTGCTGGGCACTTAGTACTAAACATCAGTGATAGCAGCCAGCGACACGCTCACCTCCGTGACTCTGCTAGGGGTGTTGGCGTATTAACTTATCCAGTGGTTGGCGCAGCACATGGATTGAGAGGCTGTGGAAACCCCACTTTTCAAGTGAGGAAAGTAGCCTAAGTCATTGCCTGAAATCTCTCAGCGTGTAAATCAAGTCAGGATTCGCATCACGATCCGCCTGGGAGAGTCCTTGTTCTTACCCGCTCTGCGGCATTGCCGTGCTGAGCTCCACTGAGCACCTCCTGTGTGGCAGCCACCGTGGCAAGGGCTCTGTGCGTATTTCCTTCTTGACTCCTACTAGAGCCCTCTGAGGGAGGTCATTGTCATCTGTCCCATTTTACAGACCGGGAGAGAGGCATAGAGAAGTTAAGTAGCTTGCCTGTGGCTGTTCAGCTGGAAGGTGGTAACACAGGGCTTCGAGCCCATGTGGTCTGGCTCCAGTGTCCAATAAATAGTCAGAAGACTGCGTGTGTGTAGACGTGGTCATTGTGTGTCGGCACGGCCTGATGGGTTTCCACGTCTCAGTGGCACATGAAATACTTCACAGCATGTCTGCTGCATGCACATTGAGCATGGCAGTTGTCACCTGTCTAGTGTGATGGCAGCTTCCTCAGCTGTGCCATCCACAGCGGGGTGCTCATGCTGGACACTGCCTTCAGGGCCAGAGGGCCCATCTCATGAACTGTAGGTATGTCCAACATACTAGGCTTTTGCCCCGTGTTCTTACCCCAATGTTGACAGCCAAAACTATTTCCAGACTTTGCCAGCTGTCTCTTGAGGGGACACAGTCACCCCTCTTGGAGAGCCACTGCCCAAGTAGATGCTGGAATCTTCCTCCCTAGATTCCATTCGGCTGCGCTGAGGACCACGTCCCCTCACAGGATTGGGGTGGTCTACGCGGGGCTGCCTTTCTTTGTGAAACTCCGGTTGAAACTTGAGAAGGCCTCAGGAGGTTTCTTGTGCTGAAGTTGTTCACAGCTCCCTACCAGCTTCAGGAAACCCTGGGCTTTCCTGTGTTGCTGCTTTCTGAGATGTTTATCCACATTCTCTGTGTGTGAGCCAGATTGGGTGCCTTGTCATCTCGGAGCTATGTGATTCTAGTGGTTTTTCCAAAATTCCTTAAACAGCCCCTTCCAGTTTCTTCTTCGGGGGGCCTTGGGGATGTGGCTCAGGGCTAGCATTCAGGATGCCCCGGATTTGATCCCTTGCAACACAAATTTTTTTTTAAAAAAAGTAGTTTCCTCTTTTGGAGGAGCTGAGGGAGGTTAATTTAGGGCAATCAGTCACTTCCTCCTGCCAGTTTTTTGTGTCTTTGATGCATGGGGGAAGTTATTTCTTCTTTTGATAACTTAAAAAAATAACCCCATATTATCTCTGGGTGGTTTTAAGGTGGCTCCTAATTAGAAGACAATCTTTCTTTTTTTAATCAAGGTACAGGAAGTGAAAGGAAAAGAAGGGCATTCAAATGGAGACAGAGTGGCCAAGAGCCAGGGAGTCCCTGGGATCATATAATGCGGGCTTTGTCTTAAGACCTCGGTCCTCCCCTAGCCTGCCTACCACGCTTCCTGTTCACAACCTGCTCCTGTCATTTATTGTGACCGCTCTCTGGAAAAGACTGACCTTCCAGGAGGTGTGTGGGGTGGTAGGACTGGAAAGCGGGACGGGACACAGCGAGAAGCGTTGAGAGGCTGAGGCAGAACCCAGCAGTTGAGGAGTAAGAGACCCCATTTTGAATGTGAGCGAAGCCTCCACGTGTGGGGCCGCCCTGGCGTGGCAGAAATGTGCATATGGGCACTGCTTGGTCCCCTCTCCCTGTTGGCCTTGGCTGCCACTCAGCCCTCCTGGAGCTGCACTGAGCACCCTGTGTGGGCCCCTGCACCACAGGCCTCTCTGAGCTGTGTCTGGCAGCACAGACTCCGGTCCCACACGTCCAACCCTCTTGCGGTTTGCAGTTGCTTTCTGGGTCTGAGGCCACCACCAAAACTGCAGATGGCTGTTCTTGGTGAGGAACTGTGGCTGATGTCACCAGATAAGGCCCAGAGCCATTAGCTTCCGGTTTAACCTGAGGTTGAACCACTTGATGAGGGACAACAGAAAAGAGCAGTTTGCTCACACTCAGTACTTTCTGCTCCATCCGTGCCTGACGTGTTGTCTCTGGTGCTTTCCAGCTGGGGGAACTAACAGCGTCACTGTGAAGAATGCCACGTTCACATGGGCCAGAGGCGAAGCCCCCACGCTGAATGGGTAAGCCAGGGCGCCACGCATAGCATGGAGAAGGCTGTGGGACTCCAGGCAAACCTGGATTCAAATTCTAGCTGTTCTCCACTTCTGTATCCCTGAGCAGATCTCTTTGCATTTCTGAGCCCCATTTCATCTGGAAATCAGGTCTAGTCGCACTCATGGGCTGTTGTGAGGAGCAGACAAGAAGGTGCCTAGCACAGAGGGTTGCCCTGAGTGTAAGTGACAGGAACTGTGCACAGCTAGGCAACACAGGATTTTTTGACTCTTATAACTGAGATGCTCCACTTTCAGGTATAGTGTAATCCAGTGTCTCAGCTATGAGAATTCTGACAGACCATGGTTCATTCAGCTTCCCCCTGTGCTTCATTTCTGACTTCCTCTTCTGTGGGGTGGCAGAATCTGCAATTCCAGGCGTACTGGGCAGGAGGCTGCCTACCTCCTATTGCCTCATCCAGGTCCCATGCTCCTCCCTGAACCAATCGGTGTGTCTGAGTAATGGGAGGCTGCCTGCCCCCTATTGGTCCAGAGTGGGTGCTCCTTCCAGAGCCAATCAGTATGCCTGTAGGGCTTGGGCTTGCTGGTGACCGGGTGAAGCCCACGGTTGTGGTATCATCTGCCACCATGTTTCTGGTTAGGATAGAATTGTCCTGTGTTCTTTTCATGGCCCTCTTTACCTGATTGGCCGTTTTTCAACACCTTCCCGCCTGAACCCTGCCCACTGCAGTCCTTGTCTTCCCCCTTGTACTGTGTCCAGGGAATTGGCCTTGCTCCCTGGGTGACCAGTATGCATCTTCCTTCCTCCCTTCCTTTCTGCCTTCCTCCCTCCCTCTTTTTCTACCCCCCACCTTGGGATTGAACCCAGGGCCTTTGCAGTAAGCTTCATCTCCAGCCCTTTTTATTTTTTATATTGAGACAGGGTCTTACTAAGTCCCTAAGTTGACTGGGTTGGGTTTGAACTTGTGATCCTTCTGTTTGAGCCTCCCAGAGTGCTGGGATTACAGATGGATGGATTATCACATCCATCTCACTCTTGCTTCACAGTTTGCTCGGGCCTTCGTAGGAGAGTCCCAGAAAATGGCCAAAGACCGAGTGGCCAAATTACTGCTGTATTTTATCAAGCCAGGGGACAAACTGTTCAGAGAACAGAGTCCCATCTATTTTTTACCTCTGTTGGAAATTCTTGGTGGGAATGCATGTCTGGGAAGTTCTTGCTTATGTCTAATTTAAGTCCTGTCTGGTTTGTGACTTTTCCGTTTGTCGTGGACAGCTAATCTGTATCTGGGGCCCCTTCTGTCCCTCCTTCCTGTCTCATAGGCTTCCTCTTCCAGTCACTCTGCCCCCCTGGAGCCCTGAAATCCTTTGTATATTCATCCCTTCCCTCCCCCAGCCTAGGACAGTATTCCAGTCTCACCTGGACAGTGACAGGTGCAGCTTCCCTGGCTTCCTGTGCCCTGGGGCCTGTAACCCTTTCTCCACCTAGCACGGGCCACGCCCCCTGGCAGCAGGGTCATGAGACTGGAACTGTTGATGAGCACAAGATTACTAGTGTTGGGGGGCTGGGGGTGGATAGTCAGTGGCAGGGTGTGTGTTCGGCATACACAAAGCCCTGGGCTCAGTCTCCGGCAGGAGAGAGAGAAAATATGAATCTGAAACTACCAGCGTCTCTGCTGACCCAGTGAAGTTAGAGCAGCAGCAGTGACAGCAGTCAGCCTAGGGGCGCACTGAGCTCTGCCAGGCCACCCTCTCGGGGGCGGACCCTGGCCTCACTGCACTGTCTCAGTGAGCGGCCAAGGCTGTGCGCCCTCCTGTGCTGCTGGTCTGCTTAGTTTAGCAGTGAGCCTTTATCTCGCTTGGCTGAATCTGTATCAAAGGACAACGTCTGTGGAGGTGTCTTTCTGAAACTCTGCTTGGGTCAATTCATGTCTCTCTTCCCTTCGGCCATTTGGTGGCTCCCAATTGGCAAAGAGCAGGTGTCTTAGCACTGTGTCCCTTAAGGTCTTCCCAGGCCTGGCTGCCACCTGGCTTACAAACCCGATATCCCTCTGTTCAGCTGTGGGTATGATATGGCTCTTGACGTCCCCTCCCCAGATGCATTTCATCCCGGCACACACCTGGCACCTGCCTCACACCTGATGTACACGCCCCGCCCCCCAGCCTGGAGACTCACTGAGCTCAGCTCAGCCACAGAAACGGTGGAAGGACTTTTGAGGCCCCAAATGCCCTTGACCACCCCCTTGTGTCCACCCCCTGCTACCTCTGTCCCCTGGGGCTTGAAGCAGGTGCACTCTCTTTCCAGCATCACCTTCTCCGTCGCAGAAGGCGCCTTGGTGGCTGTGGTAGGCCAGGTGGGCTGCGGAAAATCGTCTCTGCTCTCGGCGCTCTTGGCAGAGATGGACAAGCTGGAGGGGCACGTGACTCTCAAGGTAGGACAGGGCGTTGGGGGTGGCTGCAGGGGGAGGTCGAGGACTGAGCATGAAGTGAGAGTGACAGAGTTTCTGTCCATTCCTCCCACACACACTCCTCGGCATCCCAGACAGTAGGATGTTAGTCGCTCCCTGCTGCATCCCAGCTCCTAGAACAGGGTAGGCCGTCAGTAAGTGTGGAGAGCACACGGCTACCCTGAGGTTCGCTCTGTCCTCCCCGCCCAGTCTCTCCTCCCTGTCCATCTGTGGTCTCTGCACGTGAGTCTTCTGGTTTGTTCTTTCTCTTTACGGGTCTCTGTGATTCTCTTCTTACAAGCACAAATCCCCATCCTGGGGATTGAACCCACTACTTCTGCCCAGAGCTACATCTCCTGTCCTTTTCTGTTATTTTATTTGAAGACAGGGTTTGCTGAGTTTCCCAGCCTGGGCTCAAACTTGCCGCCCTAGAGTGCTGGGATTACCAGTATGCACCACTGTACTCTCCAAAACAAAACTGTGAAATGTTGGTTTATGTGGTTGGAATATTTTCTTAGAGGATCGTTTCTGAGGGAGCAACTTAAATTCTGAGTGTTTATTGAAATCTTAACGTGGAGCTGATAGAACAGTAGGGCTTTATTGCTTTTAAGTAGAGTACTTTGAGCTAAGTTGAAATTTCTTGAGAGAGAGCTTAAGAGGCTCCTGTACAAATAAGTCCTGCTAGAAATCAAGAGCCTGTCTTGCACATTATCTGCTCCCCCAAAGGCCTCTCCTGGTATAGAAATAACCGGACACCAGCATCCTCTGCAGTGCAGCATGCGGTGTTTTCCTCTTGCTGGCTGTTTCTGGAATAAAGGGCCCACGGCTCCTACATCTTGGGAAACACTTCACCTCTCCCTTCATCCCTCTTGGAAACTTAAACACTAGCAAAGTAAAGGCTCTAAGAAGTTTTGCAAGTTGAAAGAACTTAACTTTATTTAACCAGCGTGTTGCAGCTATGGTTGCCCGGACTTCTTTGTTTTTCTATCCAAGACCCACTTCGTTGTCTCATGGTGTCAACCCTGGAAAGTGATAGCTTATGCCACTGTTCTCATTTGAGGCAGAATCTTTTCTTGGTCCATTATATGGTGCCTTTTTGAAAGCAAAGATTACGGTCATTGGGTCCAAGTCAGTGGTATTTAGCTGTTTGTTTGTTTTTGTACCAGGAATTGAACTCAGGACCTTGTGCTTGCAAGGCAGGTGGTACAACCACTGAGCTAAATCCCTGGCCCGTTTAGTTGTTGTTCTAAGAATTGTTCTATAATAGCTTTCAAACACAAGTTATAAAGCAAGATAATGCACAGTGTGAGCTGGAGTAATGAAAGAAAATTCACTGCCACAGGAGGATCCACTTTACCTTCTCTTTCATTGTTAGGTCCCTCCAATCCCAGCACTGTGGACCTTTGGGAAAGATTTTTTTTTTTCAGGTAAATGTTTTTTTGTTGGTATGGCTTGTGCCATTATCTGAGCGTTCGATATTCTGACATTTGATCCCTTATAAGTTAAGAATATTAAGGCTGGGTGTGGTGGTGCACACCTGTAATCCCAGCACTTGGGACACAGAGACAGGAGGATCGCTTTGAGTTGGAAGCCAGATTGGGCTACGCAGAGTTCAAGACCAGCCTGAACCACATAGTGGTTAAAAAAAAAAAAAAGTATTAGAGCCAGCAGTTTGGCCATTTATCTGGGGATTTAGATCAGGAGTCAGGGTCCCTGGTTTCCCTTCCCAGCTTTGTCCCCTCAAACTTCCTTAAGAGTCTTCTCTTAAGGTGGTTTCCCCTTGTGCTAATGGTGAGTCCCTCTGGCCACCAGCCCCGTGTGAGTCGGCCCTGTGCCCCCACCCCCGCCTTTCCTGCCTGTCTGCTCCTCGCGGGCTCCGCCCACATCCCTGCCACCAACCTTCCTGTGTCTTCACTATGCCAAGCCTTCTTGTCTCCAGCCCTGCTTCTTTGACCTCAGTGTTTTTCTCCCTTCTTTGTGAGACTCTGATCCTTTGCCGTTCTGACTTGTTCAGAACAAGTTCTTTTCACAGCCTGGGTGTTTTTTTTATTACTGAAACCCATAAAAGAAATACTTTGAGCCCTATCCCTAGCCTCATCATACCACTCTTCACGCCTTCAGGCATGTGAAAATAAGAACAAAACACCCTTTGCCGTGAGCCATTTTGCTATCAAAGTCTTCGCTTAAATCTCACTGGGAGAACGTCCTGGAGGGCTCCTCCCCCAAAGCCCCAAATTAAGTCGGCACTTTGTTTAAAGGCCTGTTTTCTTTTTGTTGTAGTACAGGGGTTGAACCCAGGGCCTTCACACTGAGCTGCACACATCCCCTGCCTGCCTGCCTGCCTGCCTTCTTCCCTCCCCTCCTCTCCCCTTCTCTTCCCTTTCTGTGATAAAGTCTCATTAATTGCCAAGGCTTGCTTTGAACTTGCCATCCTCCTGACTCAGCCTTCTAGAGCAGTGATGATGAACCTTATAGGGTTTTCAGCGGTAACAAGCAGCACATGTGCCATGGTTTACCACCACTGTTCTGGAGGGTTGGGATGACAGGCATACACCCCACACCAGGAATTAAAGGACCTTTTTTTAAAGGCCTTGTATGTTTTTATCCCGTAGCATGTCCCACTACTCAGATGGTTCTTTTGGCCCCGTGAGAGATGCCCAGTGTCTGCAGGCAGGCTTTTGTTCACTGTCATGGGTAGTCTGTAAATGCTAAATACATAACTACACTTTCAGCATCAGGAGTTCAGCTCTGTTTTGTTTCATTTTGATTTGTTGTTTGAGACAAGGTCTTGCTGTATAGTTCAGGCTGACCTTTGACTTTGTAGTATCCTCCTGTCTCAGCTTCCTGAGTGCTGGCATGGCAGGAGTGCACCCCCACGCCCAGCAGGATTTCAGCTAATTCCTGATGTTGGAGTCAGTGATTGACCTCAGATGGGCTCTGTGTGACTCGCTTTCCCTCTGTTGAAGCAGTGGCTGTAATGAAAACGTCATGCGCAGTAGGATTCTTTTGGCAAGTGGTATGTGGGCTGCTCTCTCGTTCACTGAGTCTCTCTGTCTCACCCCCTTCTGCACCTGTCATGTAGGGCTCGGTGGCCTATGTCCCCCAACAGGCCTGGATTCAGAACGACTCTCTCCGAGAAAACATCCTCTTTGGGCGCCAGCTGCAGGAACGATACTACAAGTCTGTCGTCGAGGCCTGTGCCCTCCTCCCAGACTTGGAAATCCTGCCCAGTGGGGACCGGACCGAGATTGGCGAGAAGGTCGGTACGGCATTCGCACCAGGCCCCTGGATCAGGCAGCTCTGGCCCTGGAGCAGACCGTCCCAGTCTCGGTGGCGAACAGTGCTGGACACGTCGGCCCTGTTTTGTGGGCTGTGATCCGGGCTGGCTCCCCTGGGAGGGCAGCTGTGCTCCGTGCTTATTTCCGCAGAACTCAGTCCACGTGACGTGGGCTCTTCCTGGGGCCCAGCAGCTGCCCTGGGGAAGCTCCTCTCATGCAACAGCAAAAGCGCAAGAGAACAACCAAGCCAGCGCGCAGTGCCCCGACACACACAAAGCAGGTCGCAGGAGGGGCGTCCCCTGCCGCGGTCACACGGCTGCGAGGTTGATACAGGGTGCAGGGCTGGGGGTGTCTCACCTGTCCAGTCCCTGCCAAAAGAGACGAGTAGCGAAGGTGATCATGTGACAGCTAATGTGTGGGGCACTGCTCTGCACAAGGCCCTGTGCTGAGTATTTTTCCTATTTCATTTCCATGGCAGCTCCCCCAGATGGGATTTTTTTTGTTACTCCCCTTTAATGGTTGAGGAAAGGAAGATGCCCAGAGAGGCTAAATGACTTGCCTGAGGCCACACAGCCGGACACTGTTAGAGAGGGAGGCCCCTTTGTCCTTGTTCTTCCTGCTCCCTTTTGTCACTTGCGTATGTATGTGTGCATGCGTGTGGTAATGGGGATGAACCCAGCGATGCTCTGCTGCAAGCGACACTTAATTTTGAGACGAGATCTTGCTAAATCATTAAGTTGCCCAGGTTGGCTTTGATCTTGGGCTCCTCCTGCCCCAGTCTCCAAGAAGCTGAGATTACAGGCATGCACGCATCTGATTCATTTGGTTACTTCTGAAAAATGGCTGTTCTTTGTGCTTCCTGCACTCTGCCCCTCCAGCCCACCCCATGCTCCTGGCCCCACAGTCCTCACTCCCTGGCCTGGCCTGGCCTGGTCTGCTTGCCCCAGTGCCCATTCAGAGCAGCACTTGCAAGCACTTCTGGAAGAGCAAGAGTGCAGAGAGCTCACCTGTCTGTTTCCAGTCACAGCCCGCAGCTCCATCAGCTCTCTGAATGGGTGAATGATTTCTTTTAATTGAGGTAAATCTGCAGCTCCTTGGACAGGATGAATGGTTTCCAGGGATCTCGGGTTCTAGCAGGCTAACCCAGTGGGTATCCACTGCGTCCCCCACTGAGGGTGGCAGTGGCTTTGAGCCACCTGTCCTGGAAGGCGGAACTACTACCATGCCCGCCCTGTGATGCCTCGCACTGTGATCGGGCCGGCTCCTCTGTGTCCCATCCCGGCAGCGGCTCTGTCAGTAGCTCTCTGCATTCCCCGGGTCTTCGGTTTCCCAGGACACCTCCTGTGCTGTGTCTCCCAGGGTGTGAACCTGTCCGGGGGCCAGAAGCAGCGTGTGAGCCTGGCCCGGGCCGTCTACTGTGACGCAGACATCTACCTCTTCGATGACCCCCTCTCCGCTGTGGATGCCCATGTGGGAAAGCACATATTTGAAAACGTGATTGGCCCCAAAGGGATGCTAAAGAATAAGGTGCTGTAACCTTCCTGCTCTGTGGCTAAGTCAGGATGTGCCCCTTTAGGAGTCCTCCACTTCCTAGGCTTTGTTTTATTTGTTTTTTTAACTGGACTGGAACACATTTCTTATGCTTCCCCAGGCAGCCGCCTTGCGCTCGTCTTTAGAGGGTCAGTCCTTGGTGCTGAGTTGAATTCACTGCCCAAAGATGGCCTCTGTTCCTAATTAAGTCATGGGGCTGGCTCCCCGGAGGGAAACCCTGCTGTGACTCCTGGGCCTGGGGTGACCAGGGGATGCAGGTTGTGGGATGAAATTCACCAGGGCACCTAATGAGGTAGGAGGTAGTTCCTGTGCTTGGGGTGGGAGGACAGTGAGGGAAGGGGACACTAGTCCACTTCTGTAGGAGAACACGTGCCCAGGGAGGAGTATTGAAGCTGACAGAAAGCAAAAGCAGTTACGCATAGCCCTACTACTTAGATTTGTGTGTGGGTTTTGAGTCATTCTGCTGTGTATAAACTTTAGATAGGATTATCGTGTCTTAGCCATCTATATAGACAGCATTGTAGCACTTTACCTGTTGTGAGCAACCCTGTGCACACCATTAACAATCAGTGCAAAAAGCACTTAAATATTTCTTAGATTTTCAAAGGAATACACCCCATGGTAACAGAATCAGAGAGTACAAGGAGATTTGTGTGCATTTATATATCTGTACAGACGTTTGTGGATCCCTGCATCTCATTTCTTTCTTAAGTGCAGAGGGTCAGTGAGCTAAGAGTGGTTTTCATGTTTTTTAAAGTTGGCGGGGGAAGATGTAAACAGTGGTTTGTGACCTGCCAAAATCGTATTGAATGTAAGTATCACTGTCCATGAATCAGGCTTTCTTGGGATGTGGTGCAGCCACCTATGCTTCAGGTATCACCTGTGGCTGCCTCAGGGGTGAGCTGCCGCCTGGTAACTACAGGGGCTGTGAGGCCAGGGCCGTCTAGAATCTCTGGCCCTGTGAGAAGGCCTTTGCTGACTTCTGCTAACAGCTGGATGAATGTCTTCCCAGACTTCCATATCCGCCGATAAAACATGTACCTTTGCTTCTCAGCACTCCAAAATAATAAGTGAAAAAAAAAAATACACACACACAGGTTTTGTAGAGGCTTTTGGAGATGGGGACAAGGACAGTTAGCGTTTCAAAAAAAAAAAAAAATCAGGCCATTGTATGCCAAGTGATTTGCAAGTGAATCATTCTTCTGTTCATTCCCACACATGTGTGGTTCCCACCTAGCCTTCCCCATCACCCCATTAAACTCACACCCCCCACCAAGTCCCAGCACACAGGTTCCCTTTGCAGCTGTGCTTGCCCCATCCAGCATGCAGTTTTTTCCTGTTCATTTCTTCTCCATCCTGGAGTCTGTTGATCTTGTTCCCTTCTGTACCGCCCTGCTCTGCAGCTCTGTGCCTGACCCCTGGTGCAGGGCAGACCCCGGCACACAGGCTCAGGCCCCAGCCTGCTTCTGTCACGGTTACATGTCCTGCCTTTAGGCCTGAGTGCTGCTGCTGCCCCAAGTGTGGTGATGCCTCCCTCTGTCATCCTTGTGCCCCGTCAGGCTGTCCACGGGTAACTGGGTGTCTGCTTGGCTCTGCAGACTCGGATCCTGGTCACACATGGCATCAGCTACTTGCCACAGGTGGATGTCATTGTCGTCATGACTGGTGGCAAGATCTCAGAGATGGGCTCCTACCAGGAGCTGCTGGCCCGGGACGGGGCCTTCGCTGAGTTCTTGCGCACGTATGCCAGCACGGAGCAGGAGCAGGCCTCAGAGGATGACGGTAAGGCAGTGGGGTGCTGACTCAAGGCCACATGTGCCTCTCGGATGTTCCCACCAGCCACTTTGGCAGAGGGGTTCATGCGGGCATCAGGGACCAGCTGGACAAGCAGCTGGACGAGAGCGGCCTGCATAACCTAAGGCCAGGTCCCAGGTCCCAAGAGCTGACCTAAGGGCGGGAGCCAGGCTTTCCTAAAAATAGCTTTAGGTCCATGAGCTTTGGGGCTCTGCTGGCAAAAATGGGGACAGTGATAATTATCATCCCTCTGTGCAGAGAGTGACACAGGGCAAGGACGCATGGTAAAACTCAGGACAGGTGAAGCACAAGGGTTGAGCCTGTGTTCTTGGGTCATTGGCCCTGGGTTCAAATCCCACCTGCTGCTCTAGCTCTTTGACCTCAGGCTTGTCCTGCAGACCCCTCAGCCTGTGTGCTCTCTGATAAGGCAGTGTGCTGGCAGAAACAGCTTCCTGGTGTGGGGTTGACAGTTCAGTTTCTATTGGACACAGAGCCTTCTGCAGGAGCCCAGTCCTTCCTGAGTATTCCGTAAATGGTGGCTGTTACTGTTAGGGCCCTGGGGAGAATGGCTGTCCCTGCCTCTGTGGGTCACAGCAGACCTGCCCGTTCCCAGCCACCTTGCCTGGGATGCCCCCCCGCCGGGCTGGAATCTGAAAGCCGGGTGGTCTGGGGCACTTTGCAGGCTTCTGGGGAGGGTGGACTTCTAAGAACCCTGCTGCCTCTCACCAGCGGTTCAAGTGGGGTGAGTTTGCGGCCTTCTCAGGCTGCCCTGTGCCCTCGTGGTCACACTGGTATCAGAGCTTCCTCCACTCACCTTCTGTCTGAGAGGTGTGGCTCGTATTGACATGGACGGCACATGTCGTGTGGTGCTTTCTCTGCACTCTGTACGGCCACGCCTTTTGTCTAGGGGACCCTGCTTTGGATCCAGCTGTAGCTCAAAAGAGCGGTCACCTGTCCTCACCCAATCTGCCTCATGCAGGAGCCATTTAGAGACTTGCTGAGCCCCTGGGCTGTGCCTGTGACACACTTTGTCCCACACAGGCCACGGATGGACTGTTCTGCGGGCATGGCTACAGGGCCAGGCTGTACGGCTTCCCATGGGCAAGACTCACTCCCAAGCTCTGTGCGAAGGGCCTGGAGTTGTGCAGCCTGGCAGCCCACAGGGCCCTGGGGTTGCCAAAAAGGAGCTATTTGCCGTTTATTTGTTGATCACTCAGGAACTTTTTGAGTACCCACTCTATGTGTTAAGTACTTGTATTATTTTCACATAGCCCCACAGACTGGGTGACATAAACAACAAACATTTATTATCTCACAGTCCAAGATCAAGGTGTGGGCAGGGAGGGACACTCTTCGTGAGGGCTGTGTGGAAGAATCTGTCCCGGGCCTGACCTGGCCTTCCCCAGCTCTCTGTCTGCCTTCCTCTTTAGAGGTGTTGTTTTCAGTGTGCCCCTGTTGTAGTCAGGGTTTTGCAAGGAAATAGATTTAATACTGGACACATAATTTGTAGGATTATTTTATGATATTTTCCCAAAGAGTCAAATACAGAGGAATGCAAGACATTAGCCACACACTAGAGGCCCAGTGGATCCAGCCAAGGACCTGGATCCCAGCAGTGTCTCACACGAGTCCAGCTGAAGGCTCAGAGCCCAAGGCAGCGCCCTCCATGAGTCCAGCCAGTTGCCCAGAGCCCATGGCAATGTCTCATGCTTGTCTGTATTGAGGATCTGCACCTGGAGGGCCCAAAGGCCAGTGGTAGGAGCCAGAAAATCTGCACTGGTGGGATGAAGGATTTGTACCACCAGGCTGAGGGATCCACACTGGAGCCAGGAAGTGATGCTCATGGTGAAGATCAGAGCTCCCCTGACGAGAACAGCAGCCATTTCCAGCAACAGTGAGGCCCCGAGCTCCTGTTCCAATGAGAACAGCCAAGTTTGCATCAGGAAAACCATCCACAGCAAGCTTCTCATAGAAAGTCAACAGCCCATGCTTTTCCCCTCCACTTCTCTTATTATGGCCATTGGTAACAATCCACAGGTGGATCCTCCATGCCCAGGCCACACTGATTCATTTCAGCTGGACGTTCGAAGGTGACCGTTTAGTTACTCCACCACAGCCCTCCTATCTCCAAACCCCCCTATAAGGGAACCAGTTGATGTTGCAGTATGACCTCATCTTAACAAGTCCAAGGTGTGGTTGGAAAATAGGGAGACTATTTAAATTTCTAAAAACGTATCACAGTAAAACACACATTGTCATTACTCCCTCTTCGAGCTATTCCATCACTTTGAACACTCGTCCCGTCATTGTTGCCACTTTCTGAACCTCTTTTGCAAGTGTCTCTAGGTGCTCTGTGGTGTCTACCTTGATGTAGTGAATCAATTCAAAATGTTTACCTTTCAGTCATTTTAATTTTGGGGAAGAGCCAGCTATCACAGGTGCCTGGTAGGGTGGATGAGGAAACACTGTAATCTTTTCACAATCCTGCCTTACATTGGGTGGTACTTGGCAGCAGCATTTACCGTATGTTTTTTAATTGCATCTTGTAAAAACACAAAAGAGGAAATTAGCAAGAAGCGTGAGATAAGTGTGTTTAAAGCGAGAGGGAGTATTTTGAAGGGGGATTAATGGCAATGTCTTTTACTATAATTGATTTTTAAAATGTAAGCCTTCATATATTTCGATCACCCCTTGTACATCTGCAGTGACCCCGTCTCTAAATACAGTCACATTCTGAGGTGCTGGGAACAGCGGAGCTTCCACATGGGATTTTTAAGGGACCAAGTCAACCTGAAACATCACTCCTTGAGGTTTTTGGAGAAACAGGAGTGATCAAGATAGAGGCAAAGCCCTAACCTTGTAAAGACCAGAGGGAGAGAAAGACAAAAAGCAAATGAAACGAAGATGCTTTCAGGTGCCATTAAGCACTGTGGAGGAAAAACAGCAGAGAACAGGCCAGGGCACAGTGGGGCGGCAGGCTGACCACTCGGGGAGGTGACCGGCACGGGAAGGAGCTGGCAGGAGAAGCTCAGGGAACAGCAGGCACAGAGGCCTGTGGACCAGCGTGGTCTCCATTTGTGTAAAAATTTACAGGAGCCTGGTGTGGCCGGCACAGGGTGGGCGGGGGTTGGATTGACGAGGACACCCCTGCTCAGCCTTCAAGATGAGGACTTTGGTCTAAACTCGGTGAGAGGAGGAAGAGCCTAGCGAGGACTCCCAGCTACTGCTGGCGGCTTGGACTTCAAGTTGGTCTTGTGCATCTGCCTGTGTTAAGTCTTGCTGTGAGGCTCATAGTGGGTTTTTTGTGGTTTTGTTTTTGTTTTATTGGCGGTACTATCCCAGGTATTGAACCCCGGGCCTGTGGTAGTTTTTGAGCCACGATCTCACTCAGCTACCCAAGCTAGGCTTGAACCTGCCATCTTCCTGCTTCATCCTTTCAGAGTGCTGGGATTACAGATAGTGCCCCCGTGCTCATCTCTCCTAGTGGTTTTTAATTGAGTCTCCTGGTGGTGATTTGTTGAGATACTGTTCATGCACCACACAACTTCAAGTCACCTAATCCAGTGACCATTAGTGTATTCAGAGTTGGGTAGCCCTTATCACGATGAATCAGAATATTTTCATCTCATCCACAAAGGAAACCCCATACCCATTAGCAGTCACTCCCCATGTTTTGCCAGCCAAGTGTTAGGCAACCACAAATCTACTCTGTCTCTATAGATTGGCTTAGCCTGGACTTTTTGGATAATTGGACTCCGTGATGTGATGTTTTGTGACGGGCTTCTTTTACTGAGTCTTGTGTGTTAATAGAAAAGTTGTGCTTGTGTTTTTGTGGTTGTTATATGTGATGCTGGAATGAGTGTACACATCTGTGCCCTTGTGGCTGGGAAGTTCTGCCTTAAGTCTAGCCTGTCTCATCTTGCTGCATGCACGTCTCCTGTCTCTGTGTCTTAGCCGAGTGATGGGTCTTGGGGACTTCTCTTCAGTGATCTGCCTGGTAGGCTGCATTTAGGTAAAAACAACGCTTTGCTTTCTAAATCAAGGAATATGTGTTTTATTGAATCTTTTTTTCCGAAATGGTGTGTCTTCTGTCTGTGTGTCTCTGTCTCTGTCCCCACCCCCTTTTCCATCCAGGTGATCAAGGAACATCCTTAAACTATTGGCCCAGATGAGTTTTGCCTCACCTCCTCCTCCCCAGCTGCGGTCATATGCAAAGCACCTTGTACAGAACATTAAAAGTGGCCATTAAAAGATAAAAAAATTTCTTTTTTATCTTCTGTTCACGCAGGCGCTTAGTTTGGTGATAATGCCACCCTCACCAACTGCCTCTGTTACCACTTCCCCAGGTCAGCCACCTCCTCTGTGGCCAGCTGGGACATGTGGCATCTCAGCCTATGGCCTCAAACCAGCTGGCACCTTCTCCGCCTCCCTGGAGGGGTCCCATCTAGAAGTCCTGGCATCCACCCATCTTGCTCCAACCAGTGACCTTAGGCCTGAGGAGCCACATTTTTGGCTCCTCCAAATGGGGAAACTTTTTGTTGTTGTTGGTTTCATTGAGGTTCAGCACCCAGGCTGAAGGTGGTATTAGCTGGGGATGATTCTTTCTCAGTGTGTGTAAAAGGGAGATGAAAATGGATGCTTACTATACTGATGGCAAAGAGGTGTGCACAAGTTGGTTTATTAATGTACATATGTGAGAGATGAAAACCACTTTTAAAACTTCATTGTTGATTTTTTTAAAATCTGGTTTTGGTTTTTTCAGAACTGGGGAAACCCATGGCCTTCACACTGACCTACATTCCTAGCCCTTTTAATTTTTAATTTGAAATAGTCTCATAAAGTTGCTAAATTGCCCAGGCTTGGCTCAAACTTGCAGTTCTGCCTGGCCTCCCAGAGTGGGGGGTTACAAGTTTGTGCCCCCACACCTGGCTGGTTTCTTCCTTTTTTTTTTTTCCATGGTGCTGGGGATGAAACCAGGGACCCACGCATGCTCAGCAGGTGCTCTACCACTGAGCTGTGTTTCGCTTCTTCAGGAGCGTAGAGCCCTGGTCATGTTTTCCCACGGGGAGCAGTAGTGACATTGGGCATTTGGCGCTGGGGGAGATGTTTTTCACCATTACCACTGGATTCGGTTTCTTCAGATATCTGTTGGGCGGAGCCTGGCAGTGCTGCTAAACCTCACAGCCTGAGGACTTAGCCTCCCCCCACCCCAGGAAGAAAGCAGGGAGCACTGTGAGGAACAGCCCCACCTCACCAGGGAGGAAGGCCTGGGAGAGCCAGGCTGCCCCTGCCAGCCTCCTTCCTTACTTTCCTGAAAGGGCTGCGACACCGCCCTGGGGCCCCCCTCAAACGAGTGGACTGCAGGGTCCCCTCCACCCTCCGCAGGGCCTTCGTTTCTTCTTTGAGGAAAGACAATGTTCACAGCTGCTGCTTGAGTGTAAGCTTAGCTGGTACAGCCAGCCAGCCAATTCCGTTTTTGGTCAAAAATGAGACGTCGCCTCCACAGCAGTGAGTTGAATTCTTCTCCCAAGGGAGGCCGGGCTGCTGGCCCCAGGGCGGGCCGAGGTCCAGACCCTTCCCAAGTGAGGGCAGCACTGGCATAAACAGCCTCTGAAGGGCTGCTGGCAGCTTGGCTTGGCTCTGCCGAGGCTGCACTTCTGGGACTTAGGGTAGGGATAGACCTGGCTTGCCCGAACTACAGATGGGCCACCTGGTACCCTGCTTTATGTTCTTTGTCACACCTGCCACTGCATGGCAGCAAATTCAGGGTCTGCTGGTTTGGTTACCGATTCTCTCCCTATGGCTGCCTCTGTGTCCCCAGGACTGAGAACGGCGCCTACACAAAGTAGATCCTTGATATTATGCCTTACAAAAGAGCGAGTGGAATACACTTGGATCGTTCGGGATGTCCACTGTGTAAACTGTTAGCCAGGAGGGGTGGCACACACCTGTGATCCCAGCACTCTGGAAGGCTGAGGCAGGAGGATCACAAGTTTGAGCCCCACCTGGGCAATTTAAGGACTTTGTAAGACCCTGTCTCAAAGTTTTAAAAAGCTGAGGATGTAGCTCAGCACATAAGTACTGAGTTCAGTCCCTAGTACTTGGGGGAAAAAAAACACCGAAAAACCCATGGGTTGGATGGTTTTGGATTTTTGGAAAGCTGCATAAATATCCCAGATTAGAAGAAAACATGAGCTAACTTTACCAGGGTGTCTGGGGGCCAGTCTGGAAGCCAGCTTCGTAGAGACAGGGTACAGGAGGTTATGATGAGGCTGCATGCTGTCCTTGTGGCCCTCGTTCATGGCTGTCTGCCCGCCCCTCCGCTGTGTGCTGCAGGGCCACCTGGTGCCCAAGCTACCCCGTGGAGTGGGTGGTGCCCCTCCCGAGTTGTCCAGGGTTCATCAGGTGCTGGAGTACAGTGGTGGATACTTGGAACAGATGCTAAATAACAGAGGACGTCCTGGTAGTCAGTGCTGCGACGAGGGAGCCAGAAAAGGGCGGATCCTGTTCTGGGAGGGTCTGCGATATGTGAGCCGAGGCACCGTCTGGTCTCCTTTTCAGGAGTCCCCCTGAGAGCTGTGCACTGCAGGAGAGATGATCAGAGAAGGCAAGGCCAAGGCTTACGGAGGGGTGGCCCAGGGCAGCCAGCTGGGGAAGAGCAGCTGCTCCGGCATAAGTTTTTGTAGGGCCTGAACTCTGTTGGGGTCAGTATCTGTCCTCCAACAGCTAAGGCCGTGTCTGGAGCTGAGGCCTGTGCTGCCTCTCGGCTTCACACTTGCCCTGCCCCACTGCCGTTCTTTTCTTCCCTCTGCTGCTGTGAAAACAGATGAAAAGATGGCAAATTGTTCTGCAGCATTAATTTTCTAGTTCGGTTGTTGTTGTTGTTGTTTGGGGGTTTTTGAGACAAGGTCTTGTAGTACAGGCTAGCCTTGAACTCCTGATCCTCCTGCCTCAGCTCCTTGCTGCTGGGGTCATAGGCATGCGACAGCACAACACTCAGCTTCTGGCTCTTGATGTTTAAAGATGGGAATTTTGGAGAAAGGAGCTGGTCTCAAGCAGTGTGCTTGGGAGGCACAAATAGGGGAGGCCCCTCACTCCGCTGAGATAACCCACTGATTCCCTCTGGGCATGCAGGGAACATGGGGAAGGGTGGATATCGCCTGGGTCCTTAACACCTCGGATCTTGTGACTCCCCAGGCAGCAAAGTGGTGGACAAGGAAGAAGACGGTCAGTAGTGCCTGGGTTGCAGTTAGCTGTGCTTATAGACTGTAGATGGGGGCCGTAGATGGACTGGGATTGTCACTGCATGCCTGGAGAGAGGCTTTGAATGTCTGTCTCTTCACCCCCAAGCTTTGTGGTGGTGCTGGCGATATAGTTTGGGTTTCACCAGCTCTGGTGTGTCACTTGAGCCTTGGCTAAGCTTTGTTGTCCTGGGGTCACAGACTGCAGTGTGCAGGGCCTGGCACACAGTGTGTGGATGATAAAAGGCACTCACATGTTCCCGAGCATGGCTGAACACGCCCAGGCCAGCCGATGCAGGGTGAGTGGTAGGAGGATGAACAGGGGTGCTGGCCAGCCAAGCCGGACTGGCTGGGCTGTCCCTGCTGCTCCTGTGCCCAGTGGCATGGGGCTGAGGGTCCAGACCAAGGGCTCTTTGCAGACAAGATGCTGAGTCTGGTCACCTTAGTCAAAAAGAATGGCCAAAGTCGAAGATTGGGAAGTCTGGAAATCTTCATGGACCCTTGAGGATAGACCAGCTGGGATCATCATGGTCCTTTGGCCACTGATACGGTGCCGAGTCCTGTAGCACCCATGGGGCAGGCTGGCTGGGTGGGAGGAGAAAGGCGAAAGTGGCCCCTTGCGGTGCAGCAGGAAGGCAGGCCAGTCTGTTGCTGTCCCTCCTGTTTTCCAGAGCCCCAGCTGGAGCGTCAGCCTGGGGCTACAAGTGAGTGGAAGTGGGGGGAGCCCAGGAGGCTGCCCATGGAGTCCCCCTGAGAGCTGTGGGCCCAGGAGAGATGAACAGAGAAGGCAAGGCCAAGGCTTACAGAGGGGTGGCCCGGGGCAGCCAGCTGGCGGAGAGCACATCTGCAGCCTGCCACTCTCAGGCTGGGTGTCCTGCAGGGAGAACGGTGGCCCGGGCCACACCTGGCTGCCATTGCATGTGTGTGAGGACTGACCGCCTGTGGCTGCATGGGCTGGCAAACCCTGCTTGTTAGCGCTCTTCCTTCCTGGATGATGGGCTGCTTTTGTTTCTGTGGCTTATTTATTTAAGAAGAGATGCTGACATTCAGAGAATGTTTAAAGCAGTGATTCCCAGTTCTTGCCAGGTCCAGCATTCTCTGTAGATCGCGTTGACAAACCAAGAGCGCATTCTGTGCCGGGGTCCACATGTGATCCCAACTCTGCTCCCTATGACATTGGGGTCTGCTGCTGTTCTCTTTGGTGGATGTGCTAAAGATGAGGCTCCACAGGTTTTCCGTTTGCTCAGGGTGCACAGCTAGGCAGTGAGAGCACAGCCCTGAAGCCTGGGCTGCCTGCCTATGCCCTAGCTCAGGCACTGTGGGGCCAGGGCTGGACCCACATTTACAAAGCACCCTTGCCCTCAGAGGTTCATTCCCAGCTGCGACTCCTCCCAAGGCAGCCCTTGGCCGCTCTGTGTCATACTTACCTCTCTCTCCTGGCACCAGAGGAGGAGGAAATTGGTGCGGAGTGGTTGTAGCCTCCCTGAGCTCACTGAGTCTTGAAGGAGGAAAGAGCTGATCGGTTCCACCCAGCACAGTGCTGATCCTCTCCTCAAAACTGCCAGCTGCATCCTGGCTGCTGTTCTGGGGGTCTTTGTTGGGCCTGAGTGGATCCTTCTGGGACTGGGGCCTGTCCAGGCGGGGTGCTATGCAGAGCCTCATCTGTTTACATATCAGAATACTTCCTGGGCCCTAAGGACCTGTGCACCAAAAGATTAACTCTGCACTGCAGGGGCTTTGCTGCCCTTGTCAAACTGGTTGTTTTTATTTTAAGTACCCCCCCCACACCTCCAGGGTGCTTGGCCACCAGAGGGCTCTGTGTGGCCCTTTGCAGCCCGTCCTGCTGGCTAAATCTACCTACTCATCACTGCCAGCCAGCACAGGACAGCTGCCTGAGCCTGGGACCTTCACCTGTAACCGCCCCATTCCCGAGCGCCCAGCTCCAGCTAAGGCGCAGGAGCCTTCTGTGCCCTCACAAAGCTGGCTTTCCCTGGTGGCTTTTCCCTGATCACTCTTCCCCGAGGTGGCGCTTTTCTTGTCTTTGATTTTGGCCTTGCTCAGCTCTTAAAAACACCAGTTGTATCCTTCCTGTGTCTCGTGCCAGGGGTGATGGCTGTCACCGGTCCAGGGAAGGAGGCAAAGCAAATGGAGAACGGCATGCTGGTGACGGACGCCGCTGGGAGGCAGCTGCAGAGGTGAGTGCAGGGCCCTGCTCACGGGGGTGGGGAGAGGAGGGACGGGGTGCCAGCCGCTGACCCCACAAGGTCCTCTGTTCTCCCCATCCAAATCCTTCGGGACCCCACTTTCTGGAGGCCCAGGGCGTGAGTCAGCTCTGTTGGTGCCCGGTGCACCACTCTCACAGGCCTGACCTGACACTCACATTCGCCTCGTGGTGTGCCTCTCTGCTGGGTTACTCATAGGCTCTGCAGAGTAGCATTTGATTAAAAGTAGGACAAGCTGGACATGGTGGCCCTTGCCTGTAATCCTTGCTACTGTGGAGGTGGAGGCAGGGGAACTGCAGTTTCGAGGCCAGCCTGACAACCTCATGTTAAACTATTTTAACATGGAAAAAAATGACACAGGATTCAGAAATAGATGTATTTGGGTACACACAGAATGATACATATGATTAAATGGAAAAATGTGAGGAATGGGTGAGTCTGGTAGAGGATGTACAGAGTCTCTTATACTATTTTTGGAACTTTTCTGTGAATTTGAAATTGCATGCAGATACTTACCAAAAAACATTAGAATTGACCTCCAATAAATGAAAAAAATAAATCAAAAGGGCTGATCTTAGTTAATTTTTCAAATATGAAATGGAATCCAAAAATTAAAGCCAAATGAAGAAACTAAGATAAGCATCAAACTAGCTCCGTCCTCCTCCATTAGGGATGTGGCCTGGAGAGGGGTGGACTTGCCCCAGAGGCCCCTGGGAGAACCCAGAATCATCTCTTCATGCAGGCGTTGTGCAGACCTCTGGGACCACTGGTGCCTGAGTTAAACCCTCTCCCGAGGACCCATGGCCATGGGGCGTGGTGAGGGCACGCATGTACATCTACATGCGTGTGCGTGCGTCAACATCCCCCTCTCACAGCCCCAGCGTGGCGCCTGCCCAGGCATCCTCAGTTGACATTGCTGTGCTTTGCCTCCCAGGCAGCTCAGCAGCTCCTCCTCCTACAGCGGCGACGCCAGCAAGCACCGCACCAGCGCCGCGGAGCTGCAGAAACCCGGGGCCCAGGAGGAGAGCTGGAAGCTGATGGAGGCGGACAAGGCCCAGACAGGGCAGGTGAGGGCAGGTTCCTTGGGAAGGAGGACAGGACTTTGCAGAGCTCTGGCTGAGTGGCCCTCTCCGGGTGCCAGCCACAGTCCCCGAAGCCGAGGCCAGAGGGACTGAGCGGCTTCTTACCCAGGCTCACAGCTGGCTAACAGCAGAGCCGGCTCTGAATCCTGCTGTCAGGCTCCAGGCTTGGTGATGGTGCCCTGGCTCCCACCTCCCCGGGCTGAGGCGACCTGCAGGCCTCGAGTGCGGTGGGCTTTCGATGTGTGAGAGGCGGTTTCAGGTTGTGTGCAAGGTCAGCACACACTCGAGACCAGGGGGTGACATGGTCAGCCCTGTTTCTTTGTGTCTGCTTCAGTCTTCATGATTACATCAGTACAGAAGCTTCCTCTGAGTGCTAGGCTGTCTGAACACCCAGCATGGATCTCTCCTTTGATTGTAATTTTTAAGATCATCTGCCATCATGTGATTGGGCAAGCATCAGTCATTTTCCATCTTCAGTAAGCAATTTGGGGTTTATTTTTAGAAGTAAATGTGGTTATGAAAAAACAAAAACTGGGCCAGGATTGTAGCTGGGTGTCGGAACATGTCCGAAGCCCTGGGCTCCATCTGCTGTGTTCCCCAACATAGGGAATCGTATTTTCAAGATAAGTAAAAAATAAGAACACAGACAAAACTGAAACACCTACAGAAGGTAGGAGTGGATGGAGGTCCCTGGATGAGGGTTGGGGGTCCCTGGTTGAGGTCCAAGGAAGGTCCCCCCAAAAGAAGATTCGGGAATCTCAACTTGCCACACTCCTTGGAGTAGATATGTCCTCTTGCACCCCAGAAAAGCATTTCAGCATACAGCAAGGGAGGCACAGGCTGGTTTTTTAAGCAGTCAAAGCAGAGCACCCCCAGAGAGGTGCTCACAGCCTGGGGGCACTTATGTGGAAGTCTGGAATCGGTCAGTTTACAGGAGAAAGGCAAGGGTCCAGTTTAGAGGCAATATCTATCTTGTCTCTTGAGACTCGTAGGAATTTGGAGTAATTTGCCAGGAAGGTGGGGAGGTAGGCATTGTGACCTTGGGCAACTTTATGTCCTGAAGCTGTAGTTCCCTTTTTTTAACATTACAGTTCCCCCATTTCCTTCCTGTCTGCATCTTTTCTTCAGTCCTGCGTCAGGGGCACCTTCTCTTAGATTTACGCAGTTGTAGCCAGAGCCTCTTGGGACCCTCTGCCTCTGGCTGTGTCCTATCTTGTCACATCATGGGCCATGCCCAGGGCAAGAGGTGACAGTAGTGTCCCCTCTCCTTTCTCATACTGCCCTCCTAGTGGCCAGAGGAATTAGCCCCAACTCAACCCATGGGAAGGAAAGGCAGAGCCACAGACCTGCACGATCCTCATCCAGCCCCCGAGTTGACCAGAGGCAGGTCCCAGGATCACCCCAGTTTATATACAAGGAACCAGAAGCCAGGGTCTCACTCTTGCCAAAGGTGGATGAGAGCAGAGCCGGGCTCCACACTCCCTGGTGGTTTCTGACCCCTGACACCCCTACATTCCACTTTCCCAAGAAAGCAGGTCCCCGAGCTCTACCAACCAATCCAGCAGGCAGCTCAGCTGCACAGTGAGGCCAGGTGGTGAAACCAGCTCCTCTTGAGCCCACTGCTGGCGGCACCCTGAGTATCTCAGTGTCAGGAATAGACTTAGATGGGAGAAATGAAACCATCGATTGTGTGTCACTCCTGTCTCCCTGCCTTCTGCAGTCAGATGATTTTAATGATCCACGCTGAAGCATACAAAGCTTGAAGTGGCAGTAAGCATACTCCAGAAGGGGACCTGGAGGGGTCTGAGTGGGGACTGGCTAAAATTAGAAGGCCAATCACGCTTGCCCTGGCATCAGGCGCTAGGTGTCTCCTAGCCCAGATGTTACCCTGGACAGCTCAGCAAACACCCAGCAGTGGGTGTGCAGTTGAGCTGGTGCTTTGTGCTGAGAGTTGGGGCAGTACCGATTAGGGAAAGGAGGTGACCCTTGGCTTTGGTTGATAGACAGCACGGTCCTACCTTACCCTTTGATGGCTTTCTTGAGCATCCTGGAGAAAAGATAGAATCCTGAACTGAATCGCCAGACCATGTGTGGTCTGAGTGCAACTTGTTTCTCCAGCCTCATCATCCTCTGCACCCCCTATTCTGACTTCACCTTTGCCTCTTTCCAGTTACTCAGACGTGCTGTGCTTCCTCCTTCCTCAGTGCCTTTGTGCTTGCTTCGTCCACTTTCGTTTTCAGCTGGTGAACTCCCTACTCTTACTTCCTTAAATAAAACTTTCCCTGCTGTCCCCCTCCCTGGGTTAGGTTAGGATGCCCAGTTTAACACTTGATGGATATGCACCCATTATGGACTTTCTCCAATTATGCTTTACCACAATGGATGATGGGATGGCAACATGTGTGGCCCCCTGCCTGGAGGCTCTACAAAGGCAGAGACCTTGACTTCTGTCCGCCAATGCTTCCTTTGTCAAGTAGCTACTTGGGGAGGGTGTTGTGGTCTGGGCAGAGATGGAGCTAGGGACCTTGCTGACTGTGTCCGACTGCTGTCTCCACGGCCCCCAGGTGCAGCTCTCAGTGTACTGGAACTACATGAAGGCCATTGGGCTCTTCCTCTCCTTCCTGAGCATCTTCCTCTTCCTGTGCAACCACGTTTCCTCCCTGGCTTCCAACTACTGGCTCAGTCTGTGGACGGATGACCGTGTCGTCAATGGGACCCAGGAGCACACGAATGTCCGGCTGGGCGTCTATGGAGCTCTGGGCATCTCACAAGGTGGGTGTCCTCATCCCGTCCTGCAGTCACCTCACGTCTGATTACAGAATTGGGCCCCCCAAGTCCTCGAGGTTGCAGGGACCCCCCCGCCCCCAAACCAGGCCAGGCCTCAGGCCTTGTAGTGGTGACCCTTTTCCAATGCACGGCCTCTTCCGGCCCAAGGCAGCGGGAGGGAGGTGAGCTCTGTGCCCATTGTACAAGTGGGGAAAGTTGGAGCGGGGCTGCTGGGAGTTGTGTGGGCTGGAGGCCCCTGGCTTGGGCTGGTTTTGAGGAGCCACGGATGGGTCACAGTCAGTAGGAGATGGCTCTGGAAAATCTGTTGACAGAAGAGCAGGTGCGAGGGCCGGGGATTTAGCTCAGTGGTGCCGCCCCCTGCATCGCCAGCACAGGGTCCTGAGTTCAGTCCCCGGTACCAGAAAAAGAGCAGATGTGGATTTCTTGAGTTTCTCAGTCGGTAACCTCCCCTTCCTGCTAGTAGGGCAAAGGGCTGTGGCCTCCAGAGTCTATCTGAGGGAAGTAGAGGGTAGGGAACAGGGAAAGGGACGTCACTAAAACTTCTGCAGTAGGTCTTAGTCTCCTGCGAGCCACAGCAGCACAAGGCGAATTGACATTTTCCCAAAAAGGTAGAAAAAGTGAGATTTTGAGAAGACGCCGAGCTTGTGCCTGATCAGTGCTGCTCTGGGCAGCAAAGACGAAAGCCCCTGAACCCGCCACCTTTTATCCAGTGCATCGGAGACACAGATGTAACAAATGGCTCAGGACGTAGAGTTCTGTACTTCAGGAGAAGCAAATGTAACAGATGACAGGGGGAGGGGGATCCTAGAACAATGAGAAACTATGCAGATGGAGGTTTTGTTCCTCTCAGGATGTCTTCAGGGGGCGCAGTCTTGTCCTGGTGCATCACAGCCTCACCAGACCTTTGAAGTCCGACCTGTGACTGGAGGCCAAAATGGAGCCAAGTCTCAGAAATGCCATAGCTTGCCTGGAGGCAAGAGAACTAGGCCTACTCAAAGGATTTTCCCCACAGTAGAGAGCAGAGGGGGTGTGAGGCTTACCTGGGCCGGCACAGTCAGTGTCTGCACTGCAGCCATGAGCCCAGGTGGCTGTTTTGAATTCCAGGCAGTGAGAACTGAGCGTTCAGTTTCTGGGTTGAGGGAGCCACGCCGCCAGTGCTGAGTAACCACTGTGGCTGGTTCCGCCCCACTGCGCAGCGTGGGTGCACAGCACATGATCGCTGCACAAGGGTCCACGGGTGAAGGCTGGGAGCCCAGAGCCCACTGGCCTGACCCCATTCCCGCTGTACTTTCATCTGCGAAACACACTTTGCACAGAATCGCCTGTCTGGGTTTCGTTTTCTCCCCTGGAGCAGGCAGCAGCAGAACTTACCCAGGGACCCTAGATCGAGGCAGGCGTGAGAGCCCAGAAGTATGCTCCACAGGCACTAAGCTTGCCACCGCTCTGAGAAGTTGGAAGTCCACCTGCCTGCCCCACGCGGCCCCTCCCCGCCGCGGAGCCTCACGCACAGGTGTTTGCAGGTGTCGCTGTGTTCGGCTACTCCATGACAGTGTCCATCGGGGGCATCTTCGCCTCCCGCCGCCTGCACCTGGACCTGCTACACAACGTCCTCTGCTCGCCCATGAGCTTCTTCGAGCGCACGCCCAGCGGGAACCTGGTGAACCGTTTCTCCAAGGAGCTGGACACGGTGGACTCCATGATCCCACAGGTCATCAAGATGTTCATGGGCTCCCTGTTCACCGTCCTGGGCTCCTGCATCCTCATCCTGCTGGCCACCCCCATCGCTGCTGTCGTCATCCCACCGCTGGGCCTCATCTACTTCTTTGTGCAGGTGAGGGAGATGCAGTGCCCAGGCCGTGTCAGCCGGCATCTCCCCGTTTCCCCAGCACAGGGCTGTCGAGGACTCGCCGGAGGGAGCGGAGCTTTGCTTTTGTCTGTTCTGAACACCTAAAGTGATTTTTAGCTGTGATAACCACAGTGCCTAGGTGTTCTTTCTAGTAAATTGTACTTTTTAAGCTTTGAGTTAGAAAACCAAACCTTTTAGGTATGAAGATACATCTGTTAGATAGAACCAGATAATGGAGACGTGCAAGATAGCAGCTTACACAGGAAAGGTGTTAATTTTTCTCTCTCGCAATAGATATCTCACAGTAGGCCAGGACTGGAATGGCAGCTCGGTGACTTTGTTGATGTGCTGGATTCTTTTCTGCTCTTTCTTCTTGTGTGAGCATTCTGTTCTTAAATTGGTCTCATGGTCCAAGAGGGTTGCTGGGGTTTCAGCCATCATGTCTGTATTTTCAGACAGGCCAAGAAAGTGTATGGCTGCTGAATCAGTTCTGCCTGTTTAAATTCAGCTAATTGCCCAGACTTAGTCATGTGACCCCTGTACATTGTACTTTCCAAAAGTAAATTTCTGCTGAGGAACAAGAGGAGGCTACTCTGCAGGCAATTAGTAGTCTCTGCCCCCAGCCCTTCCAAAGAGCCTGTTACCATCTTTTCTTTGAACGCAGATGGTTTCTTAAGTTATTGCTATACAGATTGTGTTCCCAGTTGACAGGCTAGCGTTTTGAGGCTCACGGGAGAGAAGCATCTTAGCCATGTGCCAGGGTTCAGCGTGTGAGCCCAAGCTTGTCCTGCTCTTAGCTGCACCAAAGCGTGATCTGTAGCACAGTTGCTAGTTGAGGCTCTTTGCTGAGATGGGAGTGTTCCCGTGGCAAGACAGGGCTGCGTGGTGCCCCATCCCTCTCTGTGTAGGTGGGGTCCAGAAGGCCTTGGTCCAGCCAGCCCCAGGATCCATTCTACTGTGGCCCGGGGATTGTAGAGCAGGAACAAGGACCGAGTCAGAGAGGGCAGGTGCAGTTCCCAGGCCCTGCCTGTAACCTCTTTAAATGGGTACCACTTTTTCTTGGAAAATCTTGTAGCTGCATTTACCAAAAATGTTGTATCGTAGTCACTTTCCCGTCTCTAGGACACAATATCCAACACCCACAACTTAGAGGTTTATTTTGGCTCACAGTTTCAGTCCATGGTCAGCTGGCCCCAAGCACAGCAGCAGACAAAGAAAAGAAAAAAAAGAAACTGCACAGCAGAGGAAAAGGTGCTCACTCCATGGCAGCCAGAAAGAAGGGGCGGGGAGGGGAGCGGGGACAGGAATACACTTACCGGGTCAGCCTCTGCGACCACTGCAGCTGGGCCCTGCTTCTGATCGGCTCTGTGTGCCTGGCCTCCTCACCCTGAAGCAGGAGGGTGCAGGGAGCATCTCGTGGGTTTGCTGCGAGGATCATACACTGGACGTGGACACTGGGCTCTGCATAAGTACTGGTCATTCTCGTGGTTGTTCACGCTGTGCCTGGAGTCCACCAGGTGGGCGGGATGCTTGTCAAGTGCCCGGCATTTTGCCTCTTGAAGTGCCAGTCAGATCCAGACTTCTGCAGCACAGCCCAGGAGGATGGGATGAGGGGACCGTTGCTGAATCCCCCGTCTCTTGTCTCCCTTTCCCCACCACCCGCCAGAAGTTCTACGTGGCTTCCTCTCGGCAGCTAAAGCGCCTCGAGTCAGTCAGCCGCTCCCCAGTTTACTCCCACTTCAACGAGACCTTGCTGGGAGTCAGCGTCATCCGTGCCTTTGAGGAACAGGAGCGTTTCATCCACCAGAGTGACCTGAAGGTGGACGAGAACCAGAAGGCCTACTACCCCAGCATCGTGGCCAACAGGTGGGCACTGGGAGCCCTGGGGACGTGACACCTGGTGACCATCCGAGGCAGACAGCGCTGTGAGCACAGGACAGGGCTCTGCTGGAGTCACAGAGCCCCGCGAGTACGGTCTCCTGCTGTCTTGGTGACACTGGGTCCTCCGTGACAGGCAGAGCTTTGCGAACTATTTGCTGAATTTAGAGAAGTGTTTGCTGCGTCCCTAGATAGCCTCACCTCCTCGCCCTGTTGCACCCTGGCACACTGTTGAAAGGTGGTATAGATCATCACTAACCCTCACCCACTGGGCACGGTCTGATCCCATGGCTTAAAACTGGGTGGAGCCCGGAATTGCTGTAGCCCTTGACTTCCTGGCGGGGGTGTGAGGGAGTTTGCCAAAGCCTGGCTTTGTCTGGAGAAGAGTTTCACACGTATGAGGTTCAGTCAAGGGAAAAAGAGTCCAGCAATGCCATTTCCTTAAAGAAATGTAAACTGCTTTACATTTTAAAATGTGAAAATAGTTTCTCTTGTGCTACATAATAGCTTAGGAAAGTTAACTATAAACAAATAAAATATCTTTGTATGTCAAAAGATAAAATAATACATTTTCATGTTTCTGAAATTAGGATGAGTTTGAGAACATGTCAGGCACGCTGAACATGGTGCATCTCCTTTCTAGATCCATCTCTTGCTCAGAGGCTTGTTTGTTAATTTGCAGTGCTGGGGCTTGAACCCAGGGCCTGGCACGTGCCAGGCAAACATTCTAGCACTGAACTGCAGCCCCAGCCCAGTAGGTTCATTTTAAATCAGTGGTGCCACTTAGAGTTGAGGGCTTCTTAGTATTTAAGTTCTAGGATATCTTTTTATTAAATGCATACGTGCATCACATTTTAAAAAGACTTCTTGAGAAAAAGCTGGTTCTTAAGAAGGCAAGTTTCAGATTCCGAGGGTGGAGGGGGGTGCAGCTTCTGGAGAACCCTAGGCTGGGGCGGGCTGTGAACTTGGAGTCCCAGAAGTCTGTCCTCCGGGGCCAGGCCACATGTTTGGACGGGCAGCCCTGAGAAGGCCTTTCTCCGGAACTCTCTGGAGTTATTTCAGTTAGCACACTGACCTTCTTCCCCCGTGGCCTAGAGCCAGGTCTCTGAGAAGCTGTGTCCATGTGTGTCCGTGTGTCCGTCTGCCTGTGTCTCCTGCAGGTGGCTTGCCGTGCGATTGGAATGCGTCGGAAACTGTGTCGTCCTTTTCGCTGCCCTGTTCGCCGTCATCTCCCGACACAGCCTCAGCGCCGGCCTGGTGGGCCTGTCGGTGTCCTACTCCTTGCAGGTAGGAGGGGGCGCTCTTAGCTGGATGACTGAAGTCTCTGGGGAGGAAACTGTTGTCGGGTTCCTGAGCCTTCGCTTTGCTTTCTCCCGGGAATGGGAAAGAGGGAAGGGACTGGACTGGGGAGACCCGAGTACGGAAGTGGGGGCCACCTGAAACAGAAGAGGAGTTTGACACAGAGTCCGGATTCTCCATCGAGAAAAATCCCTTGATGGCGTGAGGGGTTGCTTCCAGCCACAAGGGAAACGCTTTTAAAACTGAATTCCAAGCCAGTGTTCCGGGAGGCTGAGGCAGGAGAATCAAAAGTTCAAGCCTGCCTGGACAACTTAGCAAGGCCCTGACTCAAATTTAAAAAAAAAAAAAAGTAACAGAACTCAAATTATGACTTCCCTCTCAACTTCCTTGAGACTTTTGACACATTATGTTTTCACATTATCAGTTAATCCAAGTGTTTTCCAGTTTACTTTCCAGAGACTTGCATGGCCCATGAGCATTTTGAAAAACGCAGTGCCTGAGCGATGCAGTGCGGCCGGTGTGGGTGGTGGCTGTCTGTGGGTTGCTAGTTTCTGTACCTTTCTTACCTGAGGGGTTTCACAATGAAAATAGAGTAATTCGAATTCGCTCCGTAAGCTCCACGCTGACCGTTCCACCTGCAGGTCACCTCGTACTTGAACTGGCTGGTCCGGATGTCATCCGAGATGGAGACCAACATTGTAGCCGTGGAGAGACTCAAGGAGTATTCAGAGACGGAGAAAGAGGTAGAGCAGACGCCTGGCCTGGCCACTTGGCCTTGCTCACCCTGTGGCTTTACCCCGAAAGGCTCCCCGAGCAGCCGCGGCTGGTGCTTCCTGCTCTGAGCGGAGAGCGTGTTGATGCCCCCACCGCCTAGAAGGGCATGTGATGCTCTCTGGCCTCTTTCAGTACCGGCCCGGAACCACTTGGTTTTAGAGTAAGAAGACAGTTTCTGATTGTCAGGTTTTTCCCACATATGGGATGCCAGGATGCTTTGAGGGCATCAGACCGTGTTCATTGTGTAGAGAGGACGCGTTTCCTTCCCGATGCCCTTTTCTAGCCCTTGTTGGCCTCCGGAGAAAGTCTTGGTTTGCTGCTAGAGCTTTAACCCCTTCCTGACTGAGATAATCTCCCGTCAACAGATGGAAACCGCAGCCTTCTAGGGGCAGCTTTTTTCTAGCCAGGATGATCTGCTGTTTGTTTTGTGTTTTCACAGGGAACTTCTGTTACGGAAGATAATACTGCTTTTCCATTTGTGATTGTATATGAATTTTCCTTTTAAGTGAGTTAAACAATTAAGTAGAAATGAGTTGATTGAAAGTGTCAAAAACAAGTAACAAACGAACCCATAGATGGTTACGGCGGAAATCTTGGTGTGCTAAGGAATTGCCCGAGCCTCGGGAACCCAGTTCTCCCCTTTATAAATGGGGGGAGGACCAAGGCCAGTCAAGGTCGCAGGGGCACTGGGCAGCAGGGGACTAAGACCCAGGTCTCCAGCCTGCTGCCACCAGTAGCTGCCCTCTCGTGGCCTGAGCAGCCCCGCCACCAGCAGGGTTAGTGACAATCGTAATGATACCAAGGGCGACTGGCCCCGCCGCCTCGCCCCTGTCACCGGGACACACTGTGCCGTGCTGTGGCGAGGCCAAGCCCTGTCCTGAACGTCTCCACACAGGCTGACTGCTGCACCACTGTGCTGCACTGTAGTAGATGCTCTCACTAGATCTGCTTTGCACATGAGGAGGCCGAGACCCGGAGAGGTGTGCGGTGGACCCGGATGTGGGCCTGCGTTGTGCCCCTCTGGGACCAGGACCAAAATCCCAGGCCAGGTCTGTCCTGAGGAAGGCAGAGCAGTGGCCACGTCCGTCCTTTAACTTGCCAACGCCATGACCCAGGTCCACTGTGGAGTTGGGTACAGTACTGTTTCCCACTCTGCATTGTTTACCTTCTTACAGTAGCTTTATTGAGATTTAATTCACATGTGATGTAGCTGTTTTTTTAAGAAAACACAACATATATTCACTTGTTTTTTTTGGAGACCGTGGCTGTCCTCCTGCCTCAGCCTCCTGAGTTCAGGGATTATACGTGTGCATCACCATACCCAGCCATATTTTTACTTTTAAAAAAACTATTTAGAATAAGCCCTTTTGAAAAATACTCATAGTCCCACCTTCTATTCCAAATGCTGTGTGTTTAGACAGCTCCAGGTTGCTTCTTTCCAGTCCTCTCTGTTCTTGTCCCATTCACGCGTATCCATAAATTTTAAAGCGGAGATTGGCTTATTGTTAAAAAGACTTACTCAGAGCCTGGTCTGGTGGCGCACACCCATAATCCCAGCACTCGGGAGGCTGAGGCAGGAGGATCTCTGTGAGTTTGAGACCAGCCTGGGCTACATAGTGAATTCCACATCAGTCTCAAAAAACAAACAAACAAACAAAGACTTATTCAGTAAATTTCCAGGTGAGAACAGATGACAGTTGTCTCTTCCTGTCCCCTGTGCTGGCTCCTTCCTGGACAGAGCCTGTGTCCACCGGCAGGTCTGTGCCCTGGACCTCTCCATGGACACTCCCGCCTACCTTTGCTTGCTTCTCTTTCTTTTAACCCACATCAGATGTGGGTTTTTCTATGTGGGTGCTCTCCCTTATCTTTGGCCCTGCTCGGGGCCCAGGCATATCTGCATCTGAAAAAATACAGTAATCCCTGCCCTGGTGGGGTTTGCTTCAAGGCTCCAGTGAAATTCTTAGTCAGCAAGACTGAGCAGAGCGCCCGGCGCCCGGCGCTGTAAGTGCTCCCTAAAAACGCTGGTGAGTTCTAGCGATTCTCAGGCTGAAGGGTTACCGTCCCATCCTGCTCTGTGCTGACCTGCAGCAGGAGGCTTCTGTGCATGCTGGTCTCAGGAGGGATGCACATTCCCTGCCGCAGCCCCTGAGCCTGGCCCGGAGCACACCTCATGCATTTTGCAGACCCGAGTGAGGTCCTTAGCCTGCCTTCAGCTCAGCCTTTTCACGTGGACTGGGGTGTCACAGGACCCTTTGGAGGTCACTGGGAGGAGGAACGAGGTCAGGGACGGTCGTGGCCACAGAGCTTGGCACATGGTGGTCTAGTGTCGGCCAGACCAGGACAACAGCTGGGCAGCTCACTTCACTCTCGAGCCTGTCCGGAGAAGACCGCGTACCCATTGCTTCTGTCCGTAAGCGTTTACTGGGCACCTGCTGTGTGCTCTACAGAGAGCCATGGCAGAGCCTGGTGGTCGGGTGTGGAGGCGGTCAGTGCTCTGAAGGAGCACAGAGCAGGAAGGGCACGAGGACACGGGCCAGGGGTGGCCCTGGGTCTGCAGGAGATGGAGGAGGGGCCCAGCGGGTAGCCTGGGGAAGAGCATTTTGGGACAGGCGGAAGCAGGCCGTGGGGTGTGTCCAGCAGGACAGGGAGGGCGACGGGCGGGAGGGGAGCTGTGGAGTCTGTTTCGGTAGAGCCCGATGGACTCAGGATTCCTCTTTTCTCCCCCTTCCTGTCCCTCCCTGTGATCTAAGGCTCCCTGGCAAATCCAGGAGACAGCTCCCCCCAGCAACTGGCCCCAGGTGGGCCGAGTGGAGTTCCGGGATTACAGCCTGCGGTACCGAGAGGACCTGGACTTGGTTCTCAAGCACATCAACTTCATCATCGAAGGGGGAGAAAAGGTGGGTGCGTGTGGTGTCCCCATGCCTGTCCACAGCTGGGGCACTCGGGCTGCGGCCAGGCAGCTGAAACTAACTGTCACCTCCCGGGCCGGTACACTGCCACTGTGGGGCCTCTGGGGGCAAAGGCTGATCAGAGCGTCCAGAGGTTCCAGGCCAGGAGCCCAGAGACCAACTGAGGCTGCAGATTTGTTGGGGGGCGGGGGAGCCGAGTACACCATGAATACTGAAGTCTGTTAACGTTTTACATAGAAACACAGCCGCTTTGCTTGGAATGTCAGAACATCTGGCAGTGTGGGACGGTGCACCTTGCTGGCACTTTCTTCTAATCAGCTGTTTTATTTTTAATTAGTGCATGCACCCAGTACATGATGTTTACATTCATTGTAGGGATAGGTACATGTGACGTTTCCCGACTCTCTGCTCCTTTTCCCCTCCCCATTCTCCTGTCTCCATCCCTCCAGCTCTAGATTCCCTCCCCCCTTTTCTTTTTTTCTTTTTAGCTCATATTTGTGGCACGTGACGATTGCATTCTTCGTGGTTAGTTGGCACATGTACGTGACACATCCCAAATCCTTCTGTGTCCCCTTCCCATTTGCAAAAGATCTATAGCCTCCCTGTTCACCCCATCTGCTCCCCACCCTGTTCGTGGTGGCAACTCAGCCCTTCTAAGGCCCACAAGTTTGCAGTCTCTAGCGTAGGGTGATGTCATTGTCACTGCTTAGACGAGGCACATAGGAATTGTGGGAATTTTAGAACCTTCCTTTGGTTAGAAGCTGTTCCTGGAAGACATGCTTGAGATCCTTAAAATTTCCCCGGAAACCAAGTCAATGGTCTTCCTGGCAGTTTGTATTTCTAAACATAGGGATTTATTAAACTCTCCTTGCCATGAGGCTCAGAACATCAGATTCCCATGAGATGACTTAAAACCAGGGGGAAACTAGGGCAGCCAATGTCCCTACGGCGTCTTTCCGACTTTTCTTGCAGCGTAGAAACTTCTGCCTGTTGCACTGTGACATCTTTTACAGGGTAGCGGGAGCCTCCCTCTCAAGGCTGGAGGCAGAGAGGTTAAGTAGGCGTTGTCAGGAAAGCCAGTCCCTGGCTGTTTATGGGAAGCCTGGTTCTCTCCAGTGGAGACCAGGCCATATTTAAAGGTGGCATCTGTTTATGTCTCAGAAATTGCAGCAGCTCAGGTTGGAAAGGTCTCCATTAGCAGAGTGAAACACAGTGTGGGAGAAAAAAAGAAATACCCAGCCATTGCTTAATCCTCTCATGAGATGAATGTGATAAATGTTATTAAATGTTCCTTCTGCCTGATAGCTGTCTCTTTGGAGATCTCTGCTGATTTAAGCAGTGGATTCATTCCTTGGGGAGTTTGGCTACATCCCTAGGCCTTATTTATTTTTTATTTTGAAATGTTCCTTGCTAAGTTGCCAAGGCTGGGCTTGAACTTTCAGTCTGCCTGCCTCGGCTTCCCAGAGTGCTGTGATTATGGGCCTGTACTGCCACACCCCCCACGCGAGTCTCTCTTGACATCTGGCCAAAGCAGCCCTTGAAGGAGTGTCCTGGGATCTGAGGACCGAGAGTGCTGGTGGGAGTTGGGTCAAGCAGATACTGGGCGCTTCGGCCCAGCTGCCCACAGTGCGGACACTGTGAGGCCAGGGCAGCCCCAGATTCCAGCATCCCCGCCTCATCCGGGCCCTTCATGTCCCAACAGGTTGGCATCGTGGGGCGGACGGGAGCCGGCAAGTCTTCTCTCACCCTGGGCCTCTTTCGGGTGAACGAGTCCGCGGGAGGAGAGATCATCATCGATGGTGTCGACATCGCCAAGATCGGCCTGCACAACCTGCGCTTCAAGATCACCATCATCCCCCAGGTGGGCCGGCGGGGCCACAGACAGGGACGGCGGCTGCCACCACCCGTCAGTCACGGATGTTTTCTCTCTCCTTTTTTCTAAAATCTGTCTGTATGGAACACGTACAGATTATGTTCTTGACGTCATTCCCTAAGTGATACAATAGAATAGCTGATCACACAGCATTCAGACTGTCTTAATATTATAAATAATCGAGAGGTAGATGGAAGTGTACAGGAGGATGTGTAAGTTATATGCAGATGCTACACCATGCCCGCAGGGCCTGAGCACCTGTGGAGTTTGAATCTGAGAGGGATCTTAGTGCAGCCCCGTCTCCTCTCCTGTCAGAGTCAGGATGAGAATCTTTATTGCTTCCTAGAGCTAAGCATTTTGGAGAACTCCCCTCCAGACTGATCTGTGTAGCAGATCCCTCACATGCTGCTTGTTAAGGATTATTTTTCCCAAAATTTCTGCCAGGGTTTAGTTCCAGAGGTGGGAGACAGGGGGAAGCCACAGGACCTTAGGACTTGCCAGTGCTGTATTCCTTCTGGGAGGTTCCCAGCACATTCGTATGCTGGAAGCTCTGAGAAGTTATGAAAAAGGGAGATTTATTTCATGCTACTTAGCCTGAGGTTTTCTTTTTCTTTTTTAAATGATGAACATCTCTAGAATTAGTGATTCTGAGGGACTCTGAAGTTTTTTGCTCCACAGTTCTTTGGAGAATGTTTTGTGTCTCCCTCTGTTCTGTCCCTGCAGAACATGACAGGATTTACGTGCCCTCTCCTCTTTTGTCTGAGCAGGACCCTGTTTTGTTCTCGGGTTCCCTCCGCATGAACCTGGACCCGTTCGGCCGGTACTCAGATGAAGAAGTCTGGACGGCCCTGGAGCTGGCTCACCTGAAGGGCTTCGTGTCAGGCCTCCCTGACAAGCTGAACCATGAGTGCGCGGAAGGCGGGGAGAACCTGAGGTGGGTGGGGTGGGAAGCACGTCCCCTGGGCACCCCCTTGCCCGGGTATGTGAAGATTCTGCCTGCTGGTGTGGGATTGAGGCCTAGTTCTGCCACAGACAAGCTGCTTGTCCCTTTGGCCCTTAGTGCCTCGGTCTCCATGTCTGTAAAATCAGTTTCACTCCAGGCTCTATTTTCCTTAAAGTATAACCAGAAAGACCAGTGCCTTTCCCAGCACACACTGGCCCCAATCTGCTAAGGGTAGCTGTCATAGATAGTACTGCTCTGAGCCTTGCTGATCCCTACCCACTGTCCCTGCTGCCTTGGTTTTGTTCTCAGAGTCCCCGGCATCTTTCTAGAATTCAGAAACTAGTGCCTGTTACAGCGAGGAACTTCCCCAGTGCTGTTCCAGTGGCTTTAGGGAGAGCTTGGTTCAGCTACCCATCGCCATGACAGCCACCCTCCATGTACTTAGATGCTAGGGCGGCCTGCAGGGGGTGCTGTATTCACCTGACGGTGCTCACTTATGTGTCTGGGGGTCATCTGACTGTTGGCTGATCTTTCTGGCGGCCTGCAGGGGGCTGTATTCACCTGACCGTGCTCACTTATGTGTCTGGGGGTCATCTGACTGTTGGCTGATCTTTCTGGCCTTCTTGAGGGCAGTCAGGTGCCTCCACGTGCCTGTCATCCTCCAAGAGGGGCATGTTGGCATGGTGATGGAGAAGCCCCAATGTGCGTCCCCACATCAGCCCTCTGCTGTCCCTATGCTTGTCCCATCCCAAGGCAAAGGCACATGGCCAAGTGCGGAGTCAGCTGTGAGGGCCTTGTGGTTGGATAGGGATACATGGATAAGGGCCATTTTTGCTATTCACACCACACATGGTGAATGGGACCAATATTTTGAATAGCTCCTCTGAACCCTCTGTGGAAATTCTGCTTCTCGTGCAACAGGAAAAATGCGATGGACGAATGATGTGTGCCGCAGGGCGTGGCAGTGGGAGCAGGTGGGCTCTTCTGGTCTGAGCAGGACCAAGTGTCTCCCTCCTCCCAGATCAGCCTAGCTTCAGGGTCAGGCTTAGTTAACACGGTCTCCGGTCATCTCCTGCTTTTCTAGCATTGGGCAGCGCCAGCTTTTGTGCCTGGCCCGGGCTTTGCTGAGGAAGACGAAGATCCTCGTGCTGGATGAGGCCACGGCAGCTGTAGACCTGGAAACAGACGGCCTCATCCAGTCCGCCATCAGGACGCAGTTCGAGGACTGCACGGTCCTCACCATTGCCCATCGACTCAACACCATCATGGACTACACAAGGTGAAGCCACAGCTACGAGGCCGCTCTGCGCACTGCCCCATCCATCCCTCTGTCCGTCCATCCATCCAGTCCTTATGCCAAGGCACAGCCCCCGTTGGTGGGACGTCTTTACCGTGGGTAGTGCCAAGTGCTTACGGCATCATGCGCTTGTTTATTCCCATCTTACCTAGGCACGGTGCCTCTGTGTGCCTAGGAGCAGGGCCTCGCTCTCGGCCCTGGGTGCTCTGCAGGATGCTGTTGGACAGGGTACCCACCCAGAGACTGGATAGCTTAGTTTGAGGACACAATGAACAGAGCAACAAGTAATATGATTTCATAGGACACTAATGATGTGTGCCGCAGGGCGTGGCAGTGGGAGCAGGTGGGCTCTTCTGGTCTGAGCAGGACCAAGTGTCTCCCTCCTCCCAGATCAGCCTAGCTTCAGGGTCAGGCTTAGTTAACACGGTCTCCGGTCATCTCCTGCTTTTCTAGCATTGGGCAGCGCCAGCTTTTGTGCCTGGCCCGGGCTTTGCTGAGGAAGACGAAGATCCTCGTGCTGGATGAGGCCACGGCAGCTGTAGACCTGGAAACAGACGGCCTCATCCAGTCCGCCATCAGGACGCAGTTCGAGGACTGCACGGTCCTCACCATTGCCCATCGACTCAACACCATCATGGACTACACAAGGTGAAGCCACAGCTACGAGGCCGCTCTGCGCACTGCCCCATCCATCCCTCTGTCCGTCCATCCATCCAGTCCTTATGCCAAGGCACAGCCCCCGTTGGTGGGACGTCTTTACCGTGGGTAGTGCCAAGTGCTTACGGCATCATGCACTTGTTTATTCCCATCTTACCTAGGCACGGTGCCTCTGTGCGCCTAGGAGCAGGGCCTCGCTCTCGGCCCCGGGTGCTCTGCAGGATGCTGTTGGACAGGGTACCCACCCAGAGACTGGATAGCTTAGTTTGAGGAGACGATGAACAGAGCAACAAGTAATATGATTTCATAGGACAGTCTGTGTTGGGAAGATAATATACAGGCAGAGGGGACAGCAGTAGCAGGCAGGCCAGTGTTTTCTTGTAAAAATCAGTAGAATCTGTACTGGGTGGTGTAATACCAGTACTCTGGGAGGCTGAAGCAGACAATGGCAAGTTTGAACCCATTCTGGGCAACTTAGTGAGACCCTATCTCAAAATAAACAAAAATAAGGGCTGAGGATATCACTCAGTACAAACCCTAGAGTACTAGTACTCGTACTATCAAAAAATATATATAATCCATCCAGGATTACAGTCGTCTTTATACCTGCACAGTTATAAAATTAAATTTTTAAACATGGGTATGGAGCAAGCAGCCACGTGGGCATCATTGCCCACAGAAATCTTCACGTGGCCCTGGTGCAGGGTGCTGAAGGTTTTGGATTTAGCATAGGTGATCAAGAAAGGCCTCCGTGAGGAGGTGACATTTGGGCTGAGGCCTGAATAAGGAGAATGTTGGCCACAGAAAAATCCAGAATGGGTTCAGTAGTCTTTTTCTGTAAAGGGCCAGAACATTTTCAGCTTTGAAGGCCAGGAGGTCATGGTTACAACTGTTCAGTTCTGATGTAGTAGGATGAAAGCAGGCATAGGCAATACAGAAATGAGTGGGCACAGTTACGTTCTGATAAATCTTTATTCATAAAAAAGGGCAGGGGGCCAGATGTAGCCTCCCCGGCCATAGTTTGCCAATCTTTGATCTAAAGAAAAAATATTCTAAGTAGAAGGCATAGCCTAGTATAAAGGTCCTAAAATGGGAATGTGTTTACTGGATTTGAAAGCCAGTGTGCCTGGAGGTTAGACTTGAATGGCTCGTGATAGGAAGGCAGAAAGGTAACCAGGGGCTAGGCCTGGGAGTACCAGGTCATCACATGAGGAGGTGCAAAACTTATTCCGAGAACATTGTGAACTCATGGAGGGTCTTTTTTCACTACTAGGGTTTGAATCCAGGACCTTCACACTGAGCTACATCCCCAGCACCTCCCCGCGTTTTTGTTTTTCAGTTTGAGACAGGGTCTTGCTAAGTCACTAGCCCAGGCTGAGCTTGAATTTGTGATCCTTCCTCAGCCTTCCAGAGTACTAGGATTACAGGTCTGCTGTGTCGCCCCCAGCTGATGTGTCAGTTTGAAGAAATTACCGAGCACCTACTATGTAACAGGTGCCATGGCCCCACATTTTCAGACCCACTGGAAATTAGTTGGATGTGAGATCAGAAATAGACATTGTTCAATCTTCACAGAACCATGCCTACCAAGGGTCAGCAGTTTATGGCCTCCAGGCCAAACTCAGCTGACTTTCCCTCTTTATGAATAAAGTTGTATTGACACACAGCCACATTTTCCTGTCACTTCTGGCTGCTTTCACATTACAAATACAGCCGAGATGAGTAGTGCAACTGAAACTATGCCGAAAATGTTTACCATCTGGAACTTTCCAGAAAAAAGCCTGCTGACTCCTTTTGTAGACAATGGTAAGATCCTCTTTATTTCATTCTGAGCGTAATGGCCCGATGAATCTGAACACTTCACATCATCATCATTATGAACTGTTCCCAACATTATTTGGGGTAGAAATTTAGGGGGCAGGAATTTGAAACTGACCAGAAATAGGGATTAAAGCTGGGCAACCAGTAGCTGGAAGGCCGCCACAGCAGCCCTGGTGGAAGCTAGGGATCCACCCCAAAACTGACTTGTTCGGGGCGCTCTCTGGGACGCAAGCTTCCTGCCCTGATGTCTGCATCCTTCCCCCTGCAGGGTAATTGTGCTGGACAAAGGGGAAATCCGGGAGTGTGGCACCCCCTCCGACCTCCTACAGCAGAGGGGCCTCTTCTACAGCATGGCCAAAGACGCCGGCCTGGTGTGAGTGCCGGAGCCACTGCACCTTGTCAGAACTGCAGGGCCAGCGCGCCAGTGTCCAGGGACGAGCCCAGCGTCCTTGGGAACCCAAACCTCTCAAAACCAAAAAGAGAAAAAGGAAAGAAAGAAAGCCAAACCCATCAAACCAAAAACACACAAAGTAGCTGCCATCATCTAACCACCTGCCCAGCACTGACCTTGAAGAAACAGGAGACAGCGCAGACACCCACCCTGGCCTCCAGCCCCCAGGAGACTCACACACTGGGTTCTCAGGCTTCTAAAATGCGAGCTGTGTCCCTGGTAGTTCCACAGAGGGGCTCAGCAGCCAGATCGGAGGAATTGGTTATGTAAAGTACACTAGTGACCAAATCCAACCAACTGCCTCATCTCTCCAGCTGAAGACTGTGCATTCAAGTCTTCGAGACACTTCCTGTCACCTCGAAACTTAATCTGGTTCCAGCCCAATGCTTTGTTTCCTTGGGGCTGCAGTCCTGAGGTTGAGGGGCCTGGTGAAAATCATTCTGACCTTCAGGCTGTGTCCCAAGGCTCCTGGCAGTCCTCTTGCCAACCATGCGGTCTTCCAGGCTCCCTGATGCCAGGAGCCAACACCCCGGCTCTGCCCACCAGGCCGTGCACCATGCTTCCTGTGCTCACAGAGGGACGTGGCTGGACCTGCGGCTGATCCACACCTGGAACCCCAGGGCCAGGTGTTTACTGCTGACTCTGCAGCCTGCTCACCTCTCCACCAGCCCCGCCTTTCCCTTGCTTTCCTTCTGGCCTCTTACCACCCGTTGCTAGGGTGAGTTTACTTTTCTCAGTACTGGAAAGAGCGGAAGATCTGCTAAATGGCTATGAAGCATCCAGAGCAAGGAGCCTGAGGGACCTCCCAAGTATTACTAGTTGGTACCAGAGTCCCCTGGAGTCTTCTTTGCTTTTTGGTTTTAATGTCTCACCCCTAGCCTCTGGCTGGCCGTCAGGGGGCAGCAGATGGCAGAAAAATTGACATTTTAGATACCAGTTCTCTCTTCCAGGATAAGAAAAGACCCCATTTGTGAACATCAGTGATTTTTTTTTTTAAAGTACTGTCTCGGGAGAAAGACGGTTTGAAGAGTTTAATTTCTTGAGAGGAAGCTGTGGGCCAAGGAGCATGGACTGGCAAAACCTGGATTTTTCTTTGGCATTCAGTGCATTCAGTGTCCTTGGAGAAAGCAGAGGTGGGGCCGTCAGATGTCTCAGTTACAGACCAAAGTGAGACCCGACAGCAGGACTCACTGCTGCCCCCGGATTCGTACTTGTTACGAATTACTGTACATTGCTGACTTCGAACCCAGAGAAGCGTCTTTCTTCTTTTTAGGTGGAAATATATATTTATTTTTTTCTAAGTTATGCCATCCTTTCCTTCTTAAAAAACCAAGTTTTTCTTGGGGATCTTTTTGTAATGACCTACACTGGAAATGAACATTAATTTGCAGTAAAAGAATATTTTATTTCTTTCTAAACAACTGTTCCGTCTTCTTTCAGGCATCAGCAGAGGTTTCAGCCTTCTCTGGTAGAGTCCGGATGTGGCAGAGAAAGGGGTCTGTGATGTGCCCTTGTCAGAAGGGGGTTTAGCAAGGAGGCAGCAGCACGGTGAGGGGCAGGGATCAGACAGACCTGAGTCCTGCCCTCGGTTGTTGGTTGTGTGACCCTGGGCAAGTCACTTAAATGGGGCTGATGAGAATGACTTCAAGGGATTGTCACAAAGTTGAGCAGTGGCACTTTGGTCCAGCTCGGGTCCAGAGGCAGAAGTCACATGCAGCATGTCCCTTTGACTTAGGGTAGGCAGTGCTGTGCTGCAGTAATGAGCCGTAGACGCTTGGGAAAGGAACAGGTTTATTTCACACCAGTACAGGGTCGTTAGCCCTGCCTAGGTAAGTGCCTCCGTGCTGTGAAAGGAGCAAGGGGACATCGTCTTAGGGGTACACCTCCCACGAGTGCTGCCTTGTCTTTGTATAGGCAAAGCTCCTCTTTGGAAGGACCCCTGGCTGAGGGCAGTGCACCCTGGGGCCGATGCTCTTAGTGAGGGCTGCCTGTCCCTCGAACCCGTCCTGTGGCAAATTCCGTTCTTTCTCCAAAACACCTCCACATCCAGCTACTCCTTCCCGCATTGCTGTCCCCCTGGTCCCAGCCAGTGTCCTCTTCCCCTTGTGTCCATACAAGGCTCACTCCGTGGTCTCCCGGCCTCAAGGCCCTGCATACACTGGCTTCTTGGGAGCTGTCAGCTGCTCCCTCATTCTGCTGGCACAGGCTAGCTCGGCTCTCCTGCCCTGACTGGGGATGGCAGCTGCAGGCGAGCAGGGGACTTCCGTGTTTGATCTTGCCTCAGTCCCTCCTCCGGGGCTTGCACTAATGGGGAGTCTGGGCCTCTCAACCTTGCCCTTCAGGAGCCTTGGGTTCCATCATGCACCTGGGATCATCACAGCTCCTGGCCAGGTGTGGTGAGGACAAAAGCATCAGGTAAGGCATGCAGCACCGTGCCACCAGTCTGCTGGGTAGAGCCGCCTGCTCCAGGCTCTCTGTCTTCTCATCTGTCAAAGGGGTGCAGTCATGGTGCCATCATCCTCCAAGGGTCCTGGTGGGGACCACATCATGGTGCCCACCTCTGCAAGGACCCTTTGAGTGGCATCCAGGCAAAGCTGTGGGGCAGGCAGTCAGCAGGGACAGCTGTGCTGGTGCTAACTTGGGTTTCTCCTGCCAGCCAGACCCTCCCTGTTGGCAGAGCCTATAGCAGGGGGTAAATGGCCTGGAGAGCGTCCAGCACAGTGGTGTCAGCCCAACAGCAGCCTTGTTAGCAGTGACGAGTGATGTGCCGGCCACGTGGGCCCACACTCTGCTTGCTGGCCAGTGCTGGTCCATGACGCAGCTCTGAGGGCCCTGAGTGAAGCCAGCTGAGTTGTCCAGACCCTGGCAGCCTCTGGCCATGCTCCCTCCGCAGAGGATGCCGGGAGCTCAGCTGCGGGCAGAGAAGCTGTGCTGCATCTGGCGCCTTTCCCTAAAGCCCGGAGGCACCCCTTCGCAAGGTGGAGCTCTGCTGTACAGACCCAGGAGCGAATTCCTGCTCTGCCCCTTACAGCAGGGGCCTTGGCAGCCCCCGTCCACTCTGCGTGCACCCGAGTCCTGCCTGCCAGCGGAGCCGCCAGTGTCTGGTAGGAATGGTCTCATGCTTTGTGGGGAGCCCGGAGGTCAGGGAGCTGAGAGGCACTTGCTCTCTCTTGTTGGATGAAGGCAGCAAATGAGTTGCTGGCCACACCTCTGAAGGGGGGAGTGGAGAAACTCCTTTGGATCTAGATTACCTGGGGATGATGGGGGACTTCCAAACCCTGCATCTGGATGGGCCACCAGGGAGGCGCCATGGCCTGGACAGGGCAGAGCCAGCCCCATGTCCTGGAGGCTTCCGCCCCAAGCCAGCATGGCCTCTGCCCGTGTGTCTGCAAGTTCCACAGGGCCGTGGGGCCAGGTCCCCAGGGCCTGTATGCCAGCGTGCAGAACTGTCACAGCTACAGAGGGGCCTGACCTGCTCCTGCCTCGAGTGGAGCCCAGGGATACTGCTAAACATGCGGCAGTCCACAGAATTGTGCAATTCCATGGGAATTGTCCTGCTCTGTGTGTCTGTGGCCACAGCCCTAAGACAGCCTGGCATGTCTCTTCTGTGTCCCCAAACACTTTGCTGTGTGCCTGTCTTACCTGTGCAGCAGGGCCAGCAGCCAGTGAGCAGACCCAAGGTGGCGTTGTGAGCTTTGGGGGGCCTGTCTCACTGCTCTTGCTGCCCTTCTCCTGTGTTTGTCCTTGGGCTTGGCTCTGCTGGACCCTTAGTTTCTCTTTCCTGGTCCCTGACTGGTCTTAGGAGCCCAGAGCTTGATTTCTACCACTGTCTTGGACAGGCCTGATCAATAGCGAGCCATGCACTGGTCACCCTTGGTTACAGCAAGTGCTCAACTCTCAACAGTCTCCGGGGCAGGAGGGTAGATGAATCATTCGGGGTGCTGAGGGCTGCAGGGGCACCCACTGAATGGATGTGGAATTTAGCAATCACATGCCTGAGATGTGCAGAGGCCTGGGCAGTGTCCTCACCCCTACCTCTCCTCTCGTGTTGGGGACTGAATCTGTGCACGGTACCTGCTCTGCCCCAGAGGGGTCCTTTCTCTGTGAGGAGCTAGGGCACCTGGCTTGTGTCCACATCAGATAAGGGGCTCCTGGGAGCTTCTCTCCAGGGCGGAGGGGCAGCAGCAGGCACAGGGGCCCTTTCTCAGCCCTGGCTGCACACTGGGGTCCTAGGAGAAGCTTAAAAATACACACCAAAATGGGCCAGGTATGTAGCTCAGCAGATACCAAGACAGAGACCCGATCTGTGGTTGTGGGGTACGAGAGGGGGTGTGTGACTGCACAAACCTTCTGTGACCAAACTGCTTAGAACTAAATACTTGTGTGTGCACCAAGCACAAACGAATCAGGAAAGCGGAACAAGATTGGTTTTATCAGTGTCTATCCTGCTTGTATCTTGCCCTACAGTTTTACAAAATGTAATCACTGGGAGAATCAGGGTAGAGGGCACAAGAGATCTGGTTTGCTTTGGTGGTACTGGGGACTGAACCCAGGGCCACAGGCGCTCTAGCCATCTGCTCTACCACCAGGCCACACCTTCGGCCCCTTTTAAACCCGAGATAGTCGAAGTTGCCCCGGCACGTCCTCCTCCCAAGGAGCCCAGATTACAGGTATACATCACCACACCAGTTTCATACAACTGTCTATGAGCCTATGATTATTTCAAAAGCAAAGGTTAATTTGGAAAAAGTACACACACCATTGTCCCAGCCCCATGAATTCTGATTTAATTCATCCAGGGCATAGTACTGGGTGGGGACTTGGTTGTCAGCCACCTGAGACCTGTAAGCAAGCAGGACTGAGAGCTACTGTTGGTGCTGGCTCCGGGGCAGACAGGGCAGGATGGACAGGGCAGGACAGGCCTTGCCCAGGTCACCCTGGGGGCGGCCGTGCCCTGGCTCTCACACTGGTGATACTCAAATGCTTTCTTGTACTCTCCTCTCTGGGACCACGAAGAGCCTAGCTAACCAGCTTCGGTGGCTGAACCAGCCGGGGACAGTGGACAGGCCCGGCTCAGACTAGACCTGACTCCTGGGCCAGCCTGTAGAACAGTCCCTGCTGGCCCAGCAGCTGGGCTGGGCTGCCGCTTTCCACCACCTGCCCGTTGTCCATGACCAGCACCCTGTGGGGAAGGGGACAGGGTGGCTCTGTGCCCACTAGGCCAGGCTCACGGAGCTCTGAGGACACCCCCGCCCCCGCTCCAAGCTTTGCGCCCCGCAGCCCAGCCCTCCACGTAGCTCCCTGGCCCCAACGGCACATTGGAAGAACGTGTCCTGCGCTCATCCCTTCCTCCGCACAGTGGGACTTCACGGTCGGTTTCAGGGCCTTGTGGCCAGGGACCGCACCCTGCCCCTCCCTGCCCACCGCCCCGGTGCAGGGTACACCTTACCTGGCGCAGTCCATCACCGAGCGCAGGCGGTGGGCAATGAGCAGCACCGTGCACTGGGCGAACTGGTGCCTCAGGGCCGCCTGGATCTGGAGCTCTGTGCCCGGGTCCACTGCGGCCATGGCCTCGTCCAGGATGAGGATCTGGGTTTTCCGGAGAAGGGCACGTGCCAGGCACAGGAGCTGCTTCTGACCCACGCTGTGAAGGGAGGGAGGTCAGGCCACATGCGTCTGCTGGTCATGATTTACAGGGCAGAGAAAGCCCTCGGCATGCGACAGCTTCTCACAGAAGGGGAAGTTGAGGGTCACAGTCCCATGGCCAGTGAGACCCCAGCCCCTGGCCTTGGGGACGAGCGGGCTGCGGCTGTTTCCTGTCCTGCCTGACTCCCTCTCACAATAAACCACTTTTCCATGGTGCAAGGTCTCCTCAGAGACCCAGAACCTGCGGAGGCCATGCAGGGTCAGGGAGCTGGGCCCCTGCTCAAGCACCAGGCCTCGGCTTCCAGCCATTTCACCGGTTCCTCCGCCCCAGCAGTGTGAGGTCATTGTCCACCAGCACAACATTTGTACAGCGAAATGGAGCCTGAGGACGGCGATGAGGAAGCAGACGTGTCAGTGGAGGCCGAGTTCCGACACCGAATTGTGGAAGCTAAAAAATCTAGGTGTTCAGAGGGAGCTGAGGTTGGGAATTGCAGATACTGGCAAGCGTGGCAGGGGCAGGGCCGGGGATTTAGCTCAGTGGTTCCGCCGCCTGCCTGGCAAGCGCAAGGACCCGAGTTCGATCCCCGGTACCAAAAGAGAGTGGCAGGGGCTCAGTAACAGAAGGGCCAGCCCATGCTCTGGGCGGTGGACGTCACTCCCGAGGTGCCCTGTGGGGTCCCGGCTGCCCTCCCCTGCCTGCCTCCCCCTCAGGCCGGCACCTCAGGTCTTCGCCGTGCTCCCCACACTCGTGCTGCAGCTGGCCGGGCAGGCTGGCCACGAAGGCCTTGAGCTGCACCATCTCCAAGGCCGCCCAGAGGGCACCATCCAAGTGCTGCTGCTGCAGGTCCAGGTTCATCCTCAGTGAGCCAGGAACCAGCACGGGATCCTGGGGGAGGCTGGGGGTCAGAGCCGGGCCCTGCCGCCTTCCCGCCTCCACCCGCCCAACCACCCCAGGCCTCACCTGAGGGATGGTGGTGATCCTGGACCGCAGCGTGTGCAGCCCCACCTGGGCGATGGGGACCCCGTCGATCCAGATGCCGCCCTCAGCTGCCTCCTGGAGCCGCAGCAGGCCCCCGGCCAGGGAGGACTTCCCAGCCCCCGTCCTGCCCACGATGCCAACCTGCCAGGGACGGGAGGGCATGGCCTGGGCGGACCCGAGGAAGGCAAGCCGGGGGCACGGGCCCGCCTGGGAGATCGGTCCACCTGCTGCTCCTCCTCTAGCTTTCCCCCTCCTTCCAGATACTCACCTCTCCCTAACCCTAACCCCACCTTCCTCCCTCCTCTCCACCCTCTTTCCCTCCTGTCATCCACCCATCCTTTTTCTGCCATCCGCCAGCTTTCCTTCTTACTGTCCACCTCCTACTCATCCTGCATCCCTTTTCACCCTACCCATAATCCCTTATCCATCCTTCCGCCTGTCCATCCCCCTGTCCATCCGTCCAGCTGTCCTCAATCCTGCTGTCCATTGCTACTCTTGGGTCCTCAGACTCAGACACACGATGACCGGACATGAGTCACCCCAACGTGACAGACAAGCTCTTAGACACAAGGAATACAGACGCAGTGCTTGCTCCAAAACACTCCCTCCCTGGTCTTGATCACACGATAAAGGGAACGTGGGGTGCTGACCAAGCTCAGAGCCTGCTTCGTGCTGCCTGGGATGCGGAGAAGGCAGAGGAAGGTATCCTCGAGGGGACCCTCAAAGGATGCGTAGTTGAGTGAGGGGAGATTTCAGGTAAAACGCATCAGACCTTTTTCTTTAAATCAGACTGCATGCTCCTGAGCCTACAGCACCACCTGCCCACCTGGCCCAGAGGCAGCAGCTGTCAAATGTTGGCTGAGCCCTGGCAGAGCAATGACCAGGAGGGGAGGAGGGCGAGGCTCTGAATGCCAAGGTCAGGAGCTCTCTTGACCTCAAGGGAAGCTAGGAGCCGGTGAAAGCTCCTGAGCAAAGGCAATGATGGGCTCAAGTACGGATCCCCGGAGACAAAGGTGGAGGCCGTGAGGCGTGAGGCCGGGGGCTCAGGGTGGCCTGGAGGGGGAAGAGAGAGGGCAGCGGCAGGAACTGTCTGCAGGGGACAGGGAAGAAGGGTAGCATGAAGGGCCCCAGGAGGCGTCTGCGAAATGGGGCGATGCTCGTCTGCCTCCTGGGGCTGTCGCGTTGCTTAATCATTGCCTTTATTTATCTCACATCCGCCACAATCCCATAGCCCTTGCTGTGTCTAGATACTTTGAGTGTGAACTCAAATGTCACAGAACTGTTATTTCCATTTTACACATAGGCAAGATGCGACCTGCCCAGGCCACCCATGGCAAAGACAGGAGTCTGTGCCATGCAGCCCGGATGCTGTGGGCAGAATACTTAGCCCCAGCACAGGTTGGGTGTTCAACTGAGCTCAGAGGGAGGAGGAAGTCGGACAGACGGCCCCCCCCGTGTGGGGACACCCAGGTAGGCAGGAGAGGCCCGCAGAGGCGGCAAATTCGAAGATGGGGAGCCCAGCACAGAGGGGGCTGGCTCTGAAAGCTGGGGATGGGGAGGTGCAGGAGACCCCAAGGAAGCAGCTGGTGCTCAGCCCGGCCGCCCCCAGAATGCCCTGGGAGACACGCACCTTCTCTCCTGCATGCACCTGGAAGGACACGCCCTGCACAGCCAGCGGCAGCTCCGGCCAGTATCTCAGCCCAAAGTTCCGGAACTCGATCTGTCCCCCGTGAGGCCAGGGGGGCCGGGCTGCACAGGTGGGCAGCGTCCAGGGCGCCTGGAGCAGGAGGACACGTGGGTCAGGGGTGCCTACCTCTCTCTACACCTCGATCGCTTCTGCAACGTGGGTGACTTTTCTGACATTTTAGAGGGCATCGTAGCAATGAAAGCACAAAAGCATGGAGTACAGCAGTGTTAAAAATAATCCCTGGCCTCGTGATGACATGGCTACCTTTTCTCTCTTACTATTATTAGGCACAGTTCATTGTTCTCTCTGCAGTGGGAACCGTAAGAGCAGTGGACATGCACTGGTTGTCCATAGTGGGCCAGACTAAGTCCCAGTTAACCCAGCAGCCATCAACAGATGAGGAGATAAAGAAAATGTGGTATTTATACACAGTGGAGTACTACTCTGCTCTAAAGAAGGAAAACTTGAGTCATCTGTAGGAAAATGGACACACCTTGAGACCATAACATTGTATTAAATGAAATAAATCAGATGATAAGCTGAAATATCACATGGTTTTCTATATGAAAAGCTCAAAATATAAATGAAAAGCAAAATAAAAGACAGATCAACAGAAATAGGGAGAGAGATCTCTTGCAAAAAGAAAGGGAACCAAAATATGGAGAGAGGATGAAAAAAATTAAGATGTGTTATGTGCATGTACCAACTTCCCAGGAGAAATGTGATTGTTATGTACTGTAAACATGTACTAGTAAAGATGATAGAAACTGAAAAAAACCCAGTACTATTGCTATGTCCCTTTCTGTGACTGGACTTTGTTGCTGTGATCATTACTGTAAAGCCATAGCTCTGGCTGTGCTGCTACAGAGTTGCAATTCCATTCCTACGTCGTGTCTGTTCCCACAATGTTGCCCTAATGTTGCCAGATGGTATATATCTGTGTTGCTATGATGTTGCTGCAGCATGGCCTCAGGTCCTGTTTCTCACTGCCCACGGTTGCTCAGACATGTGGTGACTTGCTTTGCTCAAACTAGGAAGCAGGATTTGATGCTGTGAGTCATTGCTGTCACCCTAGCTATGAGGCAGCTGACGGTGGTGGGCTCGGTGGGACAGAAAAGGGTGCAGACTCCAAAGCTCACGGCAGCATGGTCCGGGACCCACTGCCCTCCCCATGTCACACTCATCACCTCCTTGGGCGTGTGGGCGTAGTCCTGCACCCGCTCCACCGACACCATGCTGTTTTCCAGGTCTGTCCAGCTGCGAACGACCCACTGCAGGGTCTGGGTCACCTGTGCAGTAAGACATCCCAGGCTCAACTCAGCGTGGCTCTGCCAGGCAGGGCCTGGGAGACGAGACCCATGGAATTGGGATGGGACATAGGAATAGGGTGGCTGGAGGACCTGGGCCCAGAGGGATGGGATTTGGCCTCAGCCAACAGGACCTCTCCCTCCGTTCAGTAGAACCAGAATGTGCAGAGCAGGAAGGAGTCTCAGACGCCAGGCAGTCCAAAGCTCAATGACATAGGTGGGGAGATGGGGCCAGGAGTTGCCTAGCCCATCTTCTCAAGAACATCCAGAAGGATCTGGGCCTGGGAGCCTAGGCCTGCGCTGACTTCCTGTCACATGCAGAACCACCCCAAGCTCCTCACAAAGGCCGTGAGCAGTCACAGGCTCCAGTCCTGCCATCCTCTGCCCAGCCCAGCACCCACCCATGCCCAGGGACTCCTACAGGCTCCCCTTTTCCAGCCCCACCTTCCCTATGACCCCCCCATGACCACACCCACATCCCCCCAGGGCCTCCCCTGGTCCCTTCTGCCTGAGCACACACACACACACAGAGGGCCCGCCCCTCCTGGGGTACCTACCTGCAGGGCAGCTGAGACGGAGAACCCTACAAGGCCAGCACTGAGGTGGGCCTTGCTCAGCACGGCACACATGGCAGCCACGAACACCAGGCCGTTCCCCAGAAGCTCCAGGTTGGCAGCGAGCCATCTGCAAAGGGAAGCAGGGAATGGTATGCTGGTTCCCTCATCTGGGCATGACGACTACCATCATGGTGGCTCTGTACCCGTGGGCACCCATCAGGGGAGCCCTCCTAGCTGAGCGAGGTGAGTGGGAGCAGGAGACACTGTCCCACTCGCCTGGCAGAGAGCTCAGGAGAGCTGCCATACCCCTGGTATGTGCCAAGGCGAGTCTCCTTGCTGTCCACTGGCCTGGATGTGTCCTTCATGTGGCCAACACCTTCATATACAGGGCACCGCCAATGTCACCTCTACTCTACCATATGGCTGATGACATCCCCTGTGGCAGCTACCTCTTAGTAATAAACCGATCGGTCATCGACTGTAAAGCCCCATCTGGAGCTCAGAGCTCTGCAGGTCTTGTCTGACTCCTTCCCGGCACTGTCTCTAGCACCTGTACAGGCCCCAGCACATGGCAGGTGCTCAGTGAACACGGTGAATGGATGAGTGAACGTGGACCCCTCTTGGTGAGTCCCCGGCTCTGCCATCCACTCAACATCTGCTGGTGGTGGAGGTGCAGGGGATGAGGCTGGGAATAAAACCGTTAAAAATCCCTGCTCTGCTGGGGGTGGTGGCACACACCACAGTCCCAGCTATTCCGGAGGCTAAGAGGATTGCCAAGCAGGAAGCCACCTTAATGAGACCCTGTCTCCGAATGAAAAGAGCTCAGTGATGGGTTCAATCCCTAGTACTGTAAAAATAATTTTTTTACACGCATATATATCAGAACAGTGCCCGGCATGTGATACCACATTACAAACATGACCCATGGGTGTGTATTTCATCCTGATAGCCTTTCTGAGCACAGCCCAGTCTAGATGGGGCTCAGTTTGGAGAGGTTATACAACTTGCCTTCTCCCAAGCAGCTGAGCTGGCATTAGAACCTGCATCGGTCTGTACTCAGGAGCTTCAAGGAGACTGGGGGCTTATGCAGCTACTTTCAACGCATGGACCAGACACCTGGCAATGGAGTCTCCTTCCTCCAGTGCTGTTGGCAGCCCTCCGGCTGGCCTCCGTGTGCTCACAACGCAGTCCTGATACCACCCATGGGACCCAGCCTCCTCCTTGTTCCCCAGCTTGCTTTTGCCCGTGAACAGGTCACCTGACCTCTCTGGCCACACCGTAAGATCTCGGCCCCACTCTGAGGACACAGCTGGATCACAGGGGCTTCTCTGCCTACCTGTCAGCCACCAGGCGTGGGAAACTGACCCTCTGGGTCGTATCCATGAGAGCATCGCTCTGCGCCACAAAGTGGCCCTGGGCTTGGAACGCCCTGACCACCGCGCTGCCCTGGAACATCTCGGCCACGTGGGAGCACACAGACGAGTAGCTGGCCGACTCCATGCGTCTCAGCTGGCATGAAGTGGCCACGTACAGGCTCTGAGGCAGGGGAGAAGCCAGACACACAGAGGTAACTTTCAGAAGCACAAGGAGCCCTGAGTCCGGGGGGCTCTGACTAGGTTGCCACCTTGCAGTGTGACCTGGGGTCAAGTTCCTGCCTCCTCTGGGCTCCAATTTCCTCGCAGGATCAGAGTTCTATGATTCTTTTGAAAAATCACCTGGGAAGCTCTGAACACCTCCAATGCCCCACCCTCCAGAAGTACTGACTCAGAATCTCTGTAGAAATCCTCTTGGTTCAGAATTTATTTAAAAGCCAGAGTCAAGGAACCATCAAGCGAGTTGAAATATCTCACCAGCAAACTCTGAGGCCAAAGGCTTCATTTTGATCACCCTTTGTGGGATCAAACCCATAAGGAGCAAAGCAGGTAGCTGTCTTCACCTGAGGGTTACGTGCTCTGCTGATACACAGTACCTGTCAATTGGTTGAGGACGCAGCTGTTTGCAGCTGGCAGACAGGCAGGAAGCTACAGTGTCAAGATCTTTACAAACAGGAGCTCATCCGTGGCTCACAGGTGAGAGCACCCAAGGCTCCAGGGCTGAAGCAGCTACTCTGAGCTCTACAGTAAGTGGCAGAGAAACAGCCCTGCCCCAAGCCAAGAGGACTTAGAGAAGACCTGGGGTCACTGTGGAAGATAGTGGTGGCCACAGCTTTTGTCTAATGACTGTTTTCTTCTGCTGTGTGTCTGATCCCCTTTAGGTAAGAGGCGCTGGGAAGGGGGCACTGTCAGTCACAGGACCTGATCATATAGGTGGTCATGTGGCCCAGCCTAGCCAATCAGAGCATACTATTCAATGGGTCACACTGTTAGTTCAGGAATGGGACCATGACCCAGAAAGAGCCAATCAGAATCTTCCCTGGGATTGACATATTGAATACTGAGCTAGAGAAGATTATGTTTTATTTTTCAGTACTGGGTCTTTGCACTGAACTCCATGCCCATCCCTTTTTATTTTGTGAGACAGGTCTCACTAAGCCACTAAGTTGCCAGGGCTGGGCTCAAATTTGAGATCTTCCTGCTTCAGCCTTCCAGAGTGCTGAGATTACAGGCCTTCACCCCCACACCTGTCTTAGAGAAGAGTGTTCTGTTTGTTAGGTTGCTCATGAAGGATGATGTGAGCGTGGGGCTGCTAAGGATCATCGACCCACCCCTGGAAAGAGCCTGTGAAAAATCAAGAGGCACTAAGCAGTGGTGGTTCTTGAACATTAGCACACAACAGAATGCTGAGAGCGGCCTTTAGCATCAGGCATCTGGGCCCACACCGATAGCATTTGAGTCAGTAGGTCTGGCAGGGACCTCAGAACCCTTATCACACCCCCTCTCCCCAGGTGAGCCCGATGCTGCCGGAATTGGAGCCCACGCTGAGATCCACGGAGTGCAATTCAGAGACAGTAAGTGTCCTGGAGCCAGCCGGGCCCACTGCACCCTAGGATGCAAGCATTAAATTCTCTTGTTTAAGTTGGTCTCTAGCACTGGCTATGGAAAGGATCTTAGCTGAACAGAATAGTCTCTGAGCCCCTGTAATACCTCTGTGGTACCCAGGTAAGGGGAGAAGAGGAAGCTGCCGCAGTAGAAGCAAGGCTAGACATCAAGAAGAACAGGGACCTCCGCGGGTGCCGCCTTTAGGTGCCGCCCATGTGCTCAGTGGGGCAGTCCTCCTCACACTGAATCCTGACCCCAGAGATGGGACTGCTGGAGGTGGCCTCAGCTGGCCAGGGAGCCCCTCTGACATCTCCGTACCTGAAACCCAGCATAAAGGAGCATCAGTGGCAGGATGGCCACGATGGCCAGTGGTGTGGCTGTCATCACTGCCAGGCAAACCTCCAGGAGTCCGAAGGCGTAAGTCAGCAGGGCCTGGAGCTTGTCTGGGATTTCCACATCCACCGTGTCCATCTCCTTGGAGAAGTGGTTCAGCAGGTTCCCGACAGGTGTCCGCTCAAAGAAGCCAATGGGAGACCGTGCCACATCCCACAGGAGCCTCCGGAAGAGCAGGCTGGATGCCTGGACCCCACCCAGGAACACTGCGGCCATGGAGGCAAAGAGCCCAATGGCTGGGGAGGAAGGAGTGGGAGTCAGAGTGTGAACCCAGAGGCCCCCAGGATTCTCAGGACTTGGGCAGGCTTCCTCTCAGCCCTGGGGTGGTCATCTTATTGTCTGTCCCCTGATGGATCCACCCTCCAGGGGATTGAATAGTGTGCCCAAAACTCATGTCCATTCTGAACCTCAGAATATGAGCTTGTGGAAATAGGTTTTGGTGTGGGTGTGTGTGTGTGTGTGTGTGTGTATGTGTGTGTGTTTTATTAGAAATAGTTTTTGCAGACGTGATTAAAGATCTCATTTTTAAGTGGACATGAAATCCAATTTTCAATATCCTTTTAAGAACAAGTGAGGCAGAGACTCAGAAGATGCCATGACCACACAGGCAGAGATGAGAGGGACAGTAGCTGATGCCACAGCCCTACGAAACTCACACACTGTCATGTGCCATGTGGGGGGCGGTGCACCATGCAAACGAGAACCTGAGTCATCCCAGGGCTGGGCTGATGTGGTCAGCTCCCCGTCCACTCCCTCTGGACTACATAAGCACTGGTGCTAGGGCAACCACCCTGCAACCAGCCCTGGGGAGTAGGTTTCCCAGTCACTATGACTAGCTGGGTCCTCGTGTTCCGGCCTCTTGTACCCCTTTTCCAGGAGTGGAAGACACAAGCTCAGACTAGTCTAGTGATGTGGCCAAGGTCACACAGTGGATCAGGCTAAAACCATCTTTTATAGATGAGGCTAAACCCAGCAGGCAGCGCCACCCTGTGCATAATGCAACCATCCACCAACTCCAGGCTGGGGCAGCAGATGCCTGGGGAGAGAAGGTAAACCTGGAGGTCCAGCAGACCCAGGGAGAAGGTATGAACCCGGCAGCTTTCAGGACTCCAGTGTTACCTGCCCAGAGTGACCCTGAGAGAACCGCAGGAGACCCCCACAGGAGGGAGTGAGCCAGACAGACCTCCCTGAGAAGCGCAAACTCAAACTGAGGAGGACACGCGCCCCACCCTCTGTAGGGAGCAACCAGACCCTGCGAGCATCGATTTTAAGTCCAACAGTCCACTTAAACGTGCAGCCAACATCCAGCAGAGGCCAAGAGCTGATCACTTTCCCCATGTGCCAGTGTGAGCAAGGACACTCCCTGGCCTGATGGCAACCACAGTCCGGGGTGAATGGGCAGAGGGGTCTATGGCACGGGAAGGCATCTCAGATGCCCGTAGACCCTAGCGCTTGGCAGAGAGAATCACAACTGGATAGATTCCAAGGCTGCAGAACCTGGGAAGAAGCCACTCTTTCAAACACACAGGGATTTTTTTTTTCTTTCACTTGATTTTAATTTTTTTTTAATTTTTAATTATTTAATTATTGTTCTCTTCATTGGTTTGTTGGGGGAGGGGTTGGACCTCTTTATCCTTCTTTGGTATTATTTTTTTCCTTAATATTCTTTTTCCCTTTCAGCTATCTTTCCCTGTCTTCTCATCTTTCATTTTCTGTATTTGGCTATTTTTCTTCTTTTTCTTCTTCATTCTTTTCTGTGACTGCTTTCTACGTTATTAATGTCCATTTATTCTCCACAACGCCCTGCTCTCTCACTCTTCTTTTCTCCACGTCATATGCCATTAATTTTTCAATTTTTACTTTTTTCACCCCTTACCTTTACTACTAAGCTTTAGGAATGTGTAGATAGCAGAAGCAAAGTTTAGTAGATATTTACTGCAGGTCAAGAGTAGGTTAATATTTGGTTTGTCTCCGTGTTTTTTGTTTGTTTGCTTGTTTTGAGGCAGTTCATATGCCATTAATTTTTCAATTTTTACTTTTTTCACCCCTTACCTTTACTACTAAGCTTTAGGAATGTGTAGATAGCAGAAGCAAAGTTTAGTAGATATTTACTGCAGGTCAAGAGTAGGTTAATATTTGGTTTGTCTCCGTGTTTTTTGTTTGTTTGCTTGTTTTTTGAGGCAGGGTCTCACTACGTAGTTGAGACTGACCTGGAACTCACTATGTAGCCCAGGCTGGTCTCAAACTCACAGCAATCCTCCTGCCTCAGCCTCCTGAGTGCTGGGATTACAGGCTGTCTCAGTGTTTATGCATAATTATAGTTCTCTTTTCTCTAGTTAAGGGTGGTACATTATTGGTTCTTAGGGTTTGTTAAAATCTAGTTTGTCTCTGACGCTATTACTGTTGCTGATTTTAGTACTATAGCCAAGGCGACATTGTTGTTGCTATTAACTGGTTTTCTCTGTATGCCAATGACTGGATTGCCTTGGGGGGTCACTAACAATACTGTGGCCCATACCTGGAGAACTGGGTAGTCGACCAAATACACTAAAATCTTTCCTCCCAAGCTCAGGAAGGTGATTGGATCCTGGCACCATGGCAAGAGCCAATAGTTAGCCACACCCAGAAGGCAATGCTGGAAAGTAGACATTAATTTAAAGAGGTCTCCAAACTAGCCACAAAGCTTGCTACCATAATCAACCTACAAGCTTGAACACAACAAAAACAAAAAATAAAAATATGAGAAGACAAGGCAACAGAATGACTCCAAAAACTCCCAACTCCCCCAAAGCTGATCCATGGGACATCAAAGGGGAGAAAACCAAAAGCCACACAACCAAAGTATTTGAAATGATGATAGAGGGGATAACAAAAGAGATTAATGAGGCACTTGGCAGGATCACAGAAGATACAAGTAAACAGATATGGAGCCAAAAGAAAATAATCAAAAAGTCTACAGAAGACACTCATAAAAAAGCTAGCCGATGCAAATAAGATGATGCAAAATACGAAAGACCAACACAGAGAAGAATCTGAGTCCATAAAAAGGGTCCAAATAGGAACTCGGGAGATTACACTGAAAGGGTGGGCAGCAGAAGTGACCAGTGTGAGTCCTGAGTGTCAAAACTAGAAGACAGGACTGTCGTCGGTGACTGGTTACTCAGAAACACACGTGAGCAAATCCAGGCAAATCCCAAGACCACCAATGTCCTGGCCACTGCCAGTTCCCACATGTGACGTGGTACTCACTTTGCCAGGTGTCCCTACAGGGAGAAATGGGTGGAATGCAGGAGGCAGCTGTGCATTACGCGTCACTCCTGCATGTGAACCTACTGTTACTTCAGTACACAGTTCACCTTTTAAAAGGAGAGGACAGAAGATAGGAGGCAGGGGACAGGGGCAGCGACGTCTTTCAGGGAGGGACCTGCTTCTGTCAGGAAGCCAGAAGCGGGGCAGTGAGGGTCCTCGGCAGGTGGCCTGGAGCTGCCTCCCCCCAGACTGTGTGAGTGGCTGGGAGAGCTGTGGCGGATTCCGGGAGAGCAGTGTGCCCTTCGCCAACCACCAGCTCCCTCCAGCCTCATCTTAGGGTGCAGGTCTGGGCCTGGGCCTGAGTATTTTCCACAGATGCTCAGGGAGGACAAGTGGAGCCAGGGGTGGGTGGGAGCGCATGGGAGCCCCATCCCTCAGGGGGGCCAGGAGGATGGGATGAGGTCATGGGCACCAGGTACCTTGGAGACAGCCGAGGAGCCCAAAGACCCAGCCCCGCAGGGCCGTCTGCATCTGCTGGCCGTCCACAACTGGGTCATCCGCCCACAGGCTCAGCCAGTAGCCCCGGCAGAAGGAGGCCACTTGCTGGCACAGGAAGAGGAACAGCGTATAGGTACAGAGGGGGATGCCCATGGCTTGCAGGTAGCTCAGGTACACGGCGGCCTTCACCTGCAGGACACGGTGCGGTCAGGGTCACGGGAGGGTGAGTCAGGGCAAGGCCAGCCGAGGCTGCCCCAAAACAGGCCCAGGGAACCTTACCCTCCTCTCTCAGCACCTCCCATTAGGAGCAGCATTTCCCCTCCAGGCCCTGCATGGCCGGCCTTGCTACCCCCTTCTGCCAGAGATGCCCCCTTGGGCCATCAGAAGCCTTAATGGTGACAGACAGGTGACTTCCGGAACTGGAGTGCTTTCTATGAGACAGGCACACATCTTCACACTCACAGCCACTTCCACTCCACGGATGAGGACACGGAGGCACAGAGGAAGCGGCCTGCTGGTGACTTCCGGAACTGGAGTGCTTTCTATGAGACAGGCACACATCTTCACGCTCACAGCCACTTCCACTCCACGGATGAGGACACGGAGGCACAGAGGAGAAGCGGCCTGCCTGAGGTACTGGTCCGACGACTCAGCTGTGGCCAGAGCGGACTTCTGAGAACACCGGCCGATCGTGCCTCACTGCTGCTACCTGCCTGTGGCTCTCTCACTCAGAGCGCCCCACTGACTCTGTGCCAGCATCACAGAGCCTTTCCCTGAGCCCTTCCCGCCTCCGAGCTCCGCACCCGCTATCCCCTGTGCCTGGAGCATGCCTCCCCTGGTCCTCTGCCTGGCACGTTCCTTTGCTTCCCTCAGGACGGCATAAACCTTACTCCTCAGAGCGCCCCATCCAGGCAGCCCTGACCCTCAGCAGGGCTGCGATTCCTCACCCTTCATCTCTTCTCATGATCTGACGTCAGTCTAAGTCAGTGGTGGCGAACCTATGGCACGTGTGCCCCAGCAGACTGTTTGTATCACCGAAAGCTCTCAAAGGTTCGCCATCTCTGGCCCAAGTATTTACTGTCTGCCCGATTCATTAGCATGCAACCTGCGACAGGGCAGCCTTTGTCTGGCAGAGTGGGTGTGCTGGGCGGATTCATGGATGGATGGGTGGATGGGTGGGCGGGTGGATAAATGTGCAGCTATACAGGTGGGAGGGCAGGTGGCTGAGTGGATGAGTAGATGGGAGGACAGATGGATGCATGCATCGGTGAGGGGCAGGTGGACAGATGGGCACACAGGTGAGAGGAGGACTGAATAAACGGTGGATGGGTAAGTGGACAAGGCAGTGTGAAAGAGGGAAGAAAAGTTCAGCTTCAGATTTGGACAGCCCTCGACTTGGGTCCCCAGTGCGTCACACATACCAGTCTCAACTCTCTCACACCTCAGTTTCTTCACCTCCAAAGCAGAGCCAGCGCCACGTGTCTCACGTGGTTGTAAGGATGACATGACACGAGGGTCTAGGACCTTCTTGGCACACAGTAGGTGCTCAGTAAAAGGGAGCCCCCCCCTCCCACCACACTGTATCTGGCGGAAGGACTCGGGCCTGGGCCACAGCAGGAAGGGGAGGAGCGGCTGGTGGTTACCCGGCCACACCGCGCACTGCCCGCTCCGACTGGCTGTCCAGCCCCGCTGGGATCATCTAGAGGAGCGGCCATCTGGGCTTCTGAGATGACATCGTCCCTTGTAGGGGGTGACTTTGTGGACCTGTAAGTCAGAGGCGAGAATAAATCAGGATCTCTCCCGCGGAGGGTGACCCAGCCCCGGGTCCCCCGCTAACACCTGCCCCCTGCGTCTCCTCCCCTCCCCTCCTCAGCTCTCACAGAGCCCCCGCTGGACGCCTGCTGCCCTTCTCCCCACGCGGCAAGCAGCTCAGCGCCGTCCAGCACCCCAGAGCCAAGAAGCCTGTTCCTCCTGCGACACTTCCTGGAACCAAGGTTTGCCCGACACGGGAACTGTTCTCAGTCTGGCCTAAACTTTGCTGCAACAGTTCTGTCCCTCTGTTTACCCTCGTATCTGTCAGTCCAACCTAGAGGAAGGTCAGTTTTGCACCGATGAAGACTTCTTGAACCTTCATCTGTGGATGAGTGGGCGGACTTAACTACCCCAGGCCTCAAGTTTCCCCACTTATAAAATGGTGATATCATCACGCATCATCTATGAATTTATTACCAATGCAGCACTTACCAATCTGTTTGTACTATCGCGAACCACCCATCAAGGTATCCACCCAGCCCTCCTCCTCTTCCCCACCCATCTTCCCACACAAATGTATGTACCCAGCCACCCTCTCAGCCAGCCCTCTCCGCCTGCTCTCACTCGGGAGCCTTGGGCAATACCTGTGTTGCACTTGGGGGAGCTCTCAGGGTGGCTCGCTGGATGGGAAGGGAGGAGTCGTACCCAGCCTCGATATCCCCAAGGACTGGAGCCCCCATGGTCCCCCTGCAGGTCCCCCAACCCCTGGCACTTTGGCTCCCAGGGTCAAGCTCTCTGTTTCACTCGGTCGCCCTCTGTACGGCGGGCCAGCTGTAGGTTCTGCTGCGACAGATGGCCCCACGGCGAGTTTAGCTGTGCCCCGGGGGCTGAGAGAACAGAGCAGTGGACCTCCTCCTATGATCCCTGCCTGTGTGTCCTGCCCGGCACCCACAGGTACCTTGGGTGTGGACTTGAGCTCCCTGCCTGGTCTGGCTGTCAAGGCATGAGGGACAAGGCTGGTGTGGTCATGGTGAGGATTTTTCTTGGAGCCCAGCCTGACAAACCATCCCTGGGGCACATCAGGGCACCTGCCATGCTGGACGGCCAATCCTTCATATTGTAAACTGGCCATCTGGGACTGAGTCATTTTGGCCAAAAGACTGGAAAATAGCTTTTGGTGAATCGTGCCACACCCAGCACGTGGAATATTCAGCAGTTGCTCCACCTGTGGTAGTTTGCCCTGTACCCCACCTCACCACCTGAGACACAGTGGTCACAAGAAGGATCCCCATAAACCTCAACCTGTGCCCAGCACCGCGGTGAACTCACCTCCCTGATCTGTGTTCCGGCCTCCTACCTCCAGGGTCACTGGCGCTGGCCACAGGTTCTGCTTCTGCAAGGCCAAGGGGGTCCTGTCATACAGTGGGGGCCACACCACAGGACCCAGACACTGGCTTCAACCACCGCCTTCTGGGAGCATCCATCCCCCTGACCTGGCTCCTGCTGTCTTTCCAACCCTTCCCTGGGTTCACTCAGGAACCTTAATCATTCGTTCCCCATTGACTGACTAATCCAGTTGGCAAATATAATGCAGCACCTGCTACACACTTGGGTTTTAGAGAAAGGCAGTGACCATTACAGAGTCCATTTCTCCCGGTTCCTGCTCAAGCCTGTGCCTGGAATGCTCTTTCCTGGCCAATTTCCACCCTCAGGTGCCGTGTCTCCCAGGAAGGCCCCTCCACTTGCTAGTCCAGGCCAGCGGAGCTGTTCCCGCTGGTGTGAACCCTGGCTGTACATCCTGACACCATGACTGTCCCACGGGGCAGTTGGGACCACTGGTAATAGAGGTGGTACAGTCATGCATGTTACTACCCATGGTTCAAGATTCCCAGCAGCAAGACACAGGACCTATGGCCTGTCATGAACCCATTAACCACAAATCCATGAATGGAAAGTGACTGTTGTTTTAAGGCACTGAGCTTCGGGGTTGTATGTTACGCAGCATTATCACAGCAAAAGCTGAGCAACACAAATAGGTGTGCTCTGTTGTCGAGCTCCAGGGCTGTAACACTGTGAATTGACACTTAGGGCTTTGACAGCGCTGAGATGATGATTGCAGGAGAGGTAGCACCTAGACTGGGGAGACCTGGGTGTGAGTTTTTGCTTTATCATGAGGGGGGCAGTGTAGCACATACTCTAGTGGATCCATCCCAGAGCTGCCACTTAGCAGCCGTGTGGACCTCAGTCTGCTCATCTGTGAAGCGGAGACGATGACAGGACCAACCCCGCCCCCAGAGCCACTGCACTGCTTGCTGAGCTGTCCGCAGTTGGCACGTGTCGCTCACTACGGGTGCACTTGCATGGCTGGTCCAGCAGCTTCGGCATCCTCTGGGTTATCAGGACTCCCAACTAACACACTGTGGCCCTCTGGGCACCAAGGAACCTTGGGCGTAGGACCCCTTCTCCGCACAGCTGTAGGATATCACAGCACTTTCGCGCAGCCTCCAGCTCACAGGTGGTGTCTGTGGCTCGGCTCTGGCCTGGGTGGCAGGAGGGCCGTGAGGGGGCTCCAGTCACGCCTGGGGACCGTGGAGACTTCTCCCGGGCAGCAGGACCAGGAGCAGAGAGACAGCAAAGCCCAGCCAGTACCTCTGTCTCCTCCACCGCCGGGCTGTCCGGCTCCCTCCAGCAGGGCCACCAGCGCGCCCTTCCTGTGCAGCAGCTCCTGGTAGGAGCCCATCTCTGCGATGCTGCCATCTACCAGCACCACAATCTGATCGGCCTGGGGCAGGACGTGGAGCGCATGGGTCACGAGGATCCGAGTCTGCATTGAGAGGGGCAGAAGTCACACACGTGTGCTTGGCTGGTCTTCTGAAGCCAAGGGCAGGGGAGAACTGCGTCCCTGGGCCCAGGGTGGGCAGAGATGCCCTTTGGGTGCTCCTGCCCCCTCTGGAAAGCAGGAGGTCCACAGAGAGAATCCGAGGGTCTCATCTGAGTCACATCTCCAAAAAGGAGGACTCAAGGTTCACCTCAGCTGTGCCCATGACCTGAGGCAGAACTGGTAGGTCCAGGTGCTCTCAACTGACGCTGGGGATTAAGGGTAAGTGAAAGACCTCATTGGTCAGAAGCGCGTTTACCACACCAAACCTGATGAGCCCCCTCGCTCAGCCACACACCGCGCTGCAGAGCCCTGCTGTTCCCCTTTGTAACTGTGGGGCTCACGGGCGGCCCCTGCTCAGCACCAGGAGAGAACATCAGTAGCCCAGGAAAAATGCAAAATGCACAGCTTCTGCTAAATGTCTGTCACTTTTACACACCCTAAAAAGGAAAAAAATCCCAAGTAGTTTAACCTCAGGCACTAAAACAACAAATAAGGGCTGTTGCAAGCTACTGAGGTTCAGGAACTGGTATGTGGCAGCAACACAGCAAAAGCTGACAACTACAGGGGAAACCTGGACCCGAGGGAGAGTTCTGAGGGATCTGGGGAAAGACTGGTTTCTGGGGGCTCCTCTCCCCCCGTGCTGTGCCCTCTGACAATCATTCCCAGACTCGCCGTCTGCTGGAGCAGCCCATGGGGCCCGATGACCTGGTTGAAGACATGCTGCCCCACGTGGGCGTCCAGGGCTGCGAGGGGATCATCCAGCAGGTACACGGCAGCCTTTCTGTGCACGGCCCGGGCCAGGCTCAGCCGCTGCTTCTGGCCCCCAGAGAGGCTCATGCCCTGTGACCACAGAGAGGGACAAGGGGGTGGGTCTACATCACATCTGCCCCGTGATGCCGGAACGAAGAGGCCAGGCAGGTCGGGCACCCCGGATCTCACTGTGCCTGTCCCTGGGTGGCAGCAGCAACAGGCACCTGCTGCAGCCCAGCATCCCTTGCAACCAAACTTCCTGGAGGAGTGGTCTACACCTGAGGGGTCCACTTTCTTTCCTCCTGTTCACTTCCCCATCCTGCTCAGTCTGGTTTCGCCACAGAAACAGTCTTCATAGAGGACACCACTCACTTCCCTGCTGCCTCATCTGGTCGTGTAGCCTTTGCAGTCCATATTTTAATTCATTCTGCTGATTCTTACTGTGCTGCCACTCTGTCCAGAAGAGTCCTAGGCTCGGGATACAGCCATGACTAGAACCAAGCCCTTGCTCTTCCGCCTCTCATTCTAATGAGGGTAGGATAGGGGGACAGACAGTCTGTGACCCAAACAGGTAAAGCAAATGGTACACAAGATGGTGTCAAGTGCCGCAAGACCAGCAAGCAGGTGGGTACAGAGTTAACTGGCCTGAGCAGGGTGACTTTTGGGGGTAAAGCAGCCAGGGCAATCTAAAGGTGACAGAAGTGAGGGGACAGCAGGTGCAAAGGGCCTGGGGTGAGCATGTACTTTGGGCATCAGGGAACATCATTGGCTCCCTGTGGCTGGACAGAAGCAGGAAGTGGAGCATGAAGGGAGATGTATAGAGAAAGAAGTAGGGCCACATGGGATGGCAGGGGATCTGTCCAGGGAAGTCAGGATTTCGGCTTTGAGCAAAACCAGGACTGTCTGAACAGACTCCCTCTGGCTGAGCAGCAGGACTGGGCGAAGGAGGCTGGGGACAGGAACAAGGAGCCTGTGAAGAAGCTACCACAGCAATGTGGCAGGGTGCGGGGACATTCCAGGTCTGCTCCTAAGGAAGACACAACAGGCTCTGCGGATGGATTAGCTGTGGATGTCGGAGAAAGAAGAGACACTCAGGGACAGGGGTCAGAGCATTCAGGAGGAGGGGTTCTGGGGTAGCAGGCATTTAGCCCGGGCGGTGACGCGGCTGGTAAATGTGGAGGCAGCCTGCACCTCTTCCTGTCCAGAACGCTCTGCCCCGGGCCTCCGTGGCCTCCCACACAACAGTCTGTCCTCGGTCACTCGCTCAGGCCTGTCCTCCACGCCACAGCCCTTAGCAGGCTTCCCAGAGCCCTCTCAGGCTCTCTCCTCCCCTCCCCGAACTTGAACTCCCATTTTTTCACTGACAATTCCCTGTTCCGGTTTTTTCGGGGGGAAAGGCCAAAGAGTTAACAGTCGTAAGCTTTGGGGACACAGTCTCTGTCACAACTGTTCAGCTCTAACCTTTAACCAAAATACTAGCCATGGACCATAGGAAAATGACTGCGACTTGTGTCTCAATAAAGCGTTATTTACAAAAGCAGGCAGTGAGCCATATTTGGCACATGGGACACAGTTAGTTGGCCGGTCCCTGGCCAGTCCACAGCTCTGGATGCCTATATCCTGTTTATTGTACGTCTCTGCCCAGACCCTTTGCTGAGACCCAGTGAGAACAAATCTGACCAATATCACACAGCAGGACACAGCAGACTCTAGATCTTTGTCTTAGTTACTTTTCTCACTACTGAGACACTACTTAGCCCCCAAAGATAAAGGAAGAAAAGTTATTTGGCACCTAGTTTGTAGAGGTTTCAGTCCATAGCTGGCTCCAAGCCAGGGTCGCCTGGCAGAGGGGCATCGGGAAGAAAAAATAGCCCATGGCACAGCAGGACAGGCAGGAGGCAGAAACAAGCAACGACCAAAGTTGCAACGGAGGTAGCGATGGTGGCAGTGGCAGCAGCAGCCCGCATACCTCTTCCTTTTACAATTTCCAGGCTAAGCCACCTGCTGGGTGGTACCAGCCATATCCAAAGGTGGGCCTTCTTTAACGCCAGCATCATGTACTGAGTTCCGTCATGATGTCCTAATCCCAGCATCACACACCCTAGATCCAGCCATCTCTGAAAAGCCCCATCTGTGACCGCAGGCGGCTTTGTGGGGACATCTCCCCATGAGCCGTAACAGTCTTCTTACTGGCAGCTGTCAGAAAATATTTCATTACTAATCCTGGTCACAACTCTTGGCTTCTCTCTTTGGCTCTATTTGCAATCACTGTGAATTAACAACTATTGGGCATTGCTATGTCTGACGCTGAGCTGGGACCTGCTCTCCTACTTCCCTGACTTGCTCTGTCACACTGTCCACAGGTCAGGGGAGCAAACGGCCCCCAACTGCAATGCCTCCTTGTACCAAAAAAGCCCGAGGCACTCACCTGCTCCCCAATTAGGGTGTGAATGCCCGCAGGAAAGCTGTCCACATCTGAGCCCAGGGCACAGGCCTCCAGCACCGTCTCCAGCCAGGAAAGGTCCAGCTCCTGCCGGAAGCACACGTTCTCCACCACCGAGCTGTTCTGGACCCAGGCCTCCTGCGGCACGTAAGCCACTGGACCCTGAAACACAGATCACTTCTGAAGACAGAGGTGGGGGCGATTCTGAACGGCAGTGGGGCTGGGCTGGTAGAGGAGACGGCAGAGGGCCACGGGAGGCAGCAGGGAGGGGGCGCCAGGATAGAGACCCTCTCACCAGGGGGCAGCGCAGCCTCACCTGGATGCTCACGGACCCTTCTAGCTTTGAAAGCTCCCCGAGGAGGGCGGAGAGCAGAGAGGACTTCCCTGCCCCCACTGGGCCCACAACAGCCAGCAGACAGCCCTGGGGCACAGTGAGGTTGATCCTAGCAACCCAGGAGAGAGGTGCAGCCCTGGTCAGCTCCGTCTGTGCCTGCAGGATGGGAGAGCCCCAGACACAGCCAGTCTGCCCTGGCCACTCCTCCGTGCTTCCCTGTCCTTGTCCACACACGTGCACACACACACACACTCCACACATGCACATACACCCACACAAGGACATGTGTATACGTGTGCACACTCAGAGGCATGCTTATATCTGCACGCCACAGGTGTGCACGTTTAAGAAGCATTCATGTGCAGCTACCACACACCTAAGTGCACACAACCCACAGAGCTTCTGCACACACACAGGTATACAGGCTTGGATACACACATCTGTAAGTCCTCGCACACATGCACATACGTGCACCCACCCACCGTGCACAAGCACATGGACACACACACACACACACAACTGTGAGGACACTTCATGCTGTTCTGCCTCTGCTCCTATCCATTTCCGGTTGTCCACCCTCCACCGAGCAACCACAGGGATCTGTTAAGCCCCCAGTCAGTTCACAACCCTCCCCAGCTGAAGCCTCTCAGCATTTCTCCCTCCTTCAAGATCAAAGCTAACGTCTTAAAGACCATGAACCATGTCCGGCCTCCTACGCTGTTGCCTGGGCCAGCTGGGAGCAGGGAGGCACCTCATCCTTGCCGGAAAGGCTCGGATCCTCTGTTGCCCTATCCAGAAAGACACCGCTTTCCTGATTCTGCTAGGAAGCCCCCAACACCTGGGCTGGAGACCCGCCCTGCCTCACAGGCAGGAAGCGGTAGGAGCTGCCACATTTTTTTGTTTTGTTTTGTTTTTCTTAAAAAGCCGGAGGGAGCTCCTGAGGGAATCATTCCTACCTGTGCAGGCAGGGAGGGCTCTCCTGGGACCACGAGAAGGTGCCGTCCTGTATGGCGATGCAGTCCTTCCCAGGGGCTGCGGGCACAGAAAGCCGGTCACGGGCTGCTCCTGCCGGGCCTCACTATGCAATGGACCCCCAGGCACCCACCCACCATGCCCAGAAGTAGTAGGCTGTAGCTGAAGCCTCCCAGGGAGCCACCTTCCAAGTTCACCACCTTGTGGGTGACCTTGCAGGGGTCCCATTGTGTCCCAAGGCCACGGAATTCAGGGGGAGGCAAACCACAGCCAAGGGATCAGATCCTGCCTAGTTTTACAAATAAAGTTCTATTGAAAGGCATTTGTGTCTATTCAGTTGCATAAGGGAGAGTTTGAAAGATACAGTGAATGTTTAACTTTTAAAAAAACATTACAGTAAAAGACATATTACCAGGAATAATGGGATAAGGGTGTTCAAAGGAGTATTTTGAGAATTTTGAGGGTGACCAATGGCAGTGTGCCTTTTACCTGGAATAAATATTTTTAGTTAAACACTCAATTTTGACCACCCACTGATCAAACATTTACAGCAATTTCTGCCAAATGAAAACATTGTGGGGTGTCCTCTTCCACTGGATCTGGCACCATGAGATGTCCGGCTCTTCCCCAAAGTCTAAACGACCATGAAAGGTAAACATTTTGAACTGATTCAGGACACTGAGGCAGCCCCTAAAGACACTCAGGACGGGAGGCTTCAATCCCGCTTCAGAAAGTGACAAGAATGGTAAGTGTGTTTGAAGCAAGGGGGATTCACGACAATGTATCCTTTACTGTAATACACTTTTAAGATTTAAGCATCTGCCTTATTTTTATCAGTTTTTTTAAATGGCTACTTTCAGGCTAAAATGGCAGAATTAAGTGGTCAGGGCAGAGACATAGGCCCATGAGTCTAAAATATGTTTGATCTGTTCCTTTACAGAAAATCTTGGTGGGTTTGTTTTGTAATTTACACCCAATGCAGGGCTTTGGCCAATGAAGGGGCATTGTTTATTTCACTGGGGTAAACTGCAGAGAGGGGCATATGGCCTCCCCCTGTCTCCAGGCCTCAGATTTGATCTCTGTAATGAGGGAGGACAGAGATCAGGGGTTCTCCACTCTGCACACACGCTTGGGACCCCGCAGGAATACGTTCTAAAATAACAAAGCTCTCGACCGCTCAGCCCAAATCAATTAAATCAGAATCTGAGGGGTGGATTCAGCACGGTGCCAATCTAAATCTGAAATTCAGATAAAGAGAAATATTTCTTCTGGTATAAATATGCCCCCAAATATTTCATGGGACATACACATATCCAGAAAAATCTGTTTATCTGAAATTCAAATGCAATTAGGCATTCTGTATCTTTATGAATCTAGCTACTGTACTATAGGGGATTTGTCTCTTGTCTACAATCTGAGGTGCAAGAATCCCTCTCTCCCTGACCCTCCACTTACCCATCTGTTTTGTTTTGGTGCCAGGGATTGAACTCGGGACCTTGCACCTGCGCAGCAGGCACTGAGCTAAATCCCCAGCCGTTCCACTTACCCATCTGTAAAATGGGCCAGTCCTGGAAGTACCTCACTCACAGGGCTGCTGAGAGGGTTTGGGGGGCTCTTTTCCTTGCTTTTCTCCTTTCCTTCTTCCCTTTCTTTCCTTCCTCCTTCCCTTATTACGGATTGAGCCCATGGCATTGTGCATTCTATTTTTATAAATTTTTATTGAAGCTACTGAGCTACATCCCCAGCCATTTCTATTTGGAGTCTGTGTCTAAGTTGCCTAGGCTGGGCTTGGAATTGTGATCCTCCTGCCTCAGCCTCTTGAGTAGCCAGGGTCACAGATGTGCACAACCATGCCTGGCTGGGCTTCGTTCTACATGGAGCAGTTTGAACTGTGCACCATGTGGAGGACACCACTCACCACTAGCAGGATGTCGGCATTCACCTCACCGCTGTAAGCACACCTTTGGGAAGGGCAGCTCTGGCCCCAGTGAAATAAACGAACAAGTGACCAGGTGTCCTGAAGTCATGGCCAACACTTGGGTCTCTGGTTGAGGGCCCATATAACTCCAGCAGAGCTAATGGCACAGTTGTCACAGACCCCAAGCTATTTACTGAGCAGCTTCTACAAGCCAGGTGCTTGCTGTCTCTTGTGTTACCATTAGGACAATCCTGGCGGTTGGGAACCTCAGCCCAGGAGGGGAGGAGTGGCTGCCCAGGGCCCCAGAGGGAGGGGTGGGCACAGATCTGAATCCTGAACCTGGGTGTAAACTCCTGAATCACATTGATTAGGCTGAACGCATCAGATGAAACTGGGTCAGAGCTTTCAGTCATCTCAGAAATGCCAATTTTGGGTTCCTTAGAGGGCTCTGTGTTATTTCAGTTTTCCCCCTAATAATTATACTAATGATCAAAACACATTAACAGCTGACTTTGCAATGGGCTCTATGCCAAGTGTACTATTTAGCAAAGCACACTCAGTAGGCCTTCATAACAAGCGCAGCTTGTCTGAGAGCTTAATAACTTGGCAAGGTCAGTGCTGGGGCCAGAATGTGGACCTACTCAGACGTTTCTAGATAAGCAGGTTGACCAGATGGCCCAGCAACAGGTCGCCCTCCCACAGCGCAGGTGAATGCTGCTAATGTACAGGTGGAGGGGAAGATGGAGCAGAGTGGGGAGGGCCCCTGCACAAAACGGCCCCAGGCCTCACTTCCTGGGCTTCCTGGGGGAGGGCAAGGACTGGTTAGAGTGCCCACCAGAACGCCACACACAGGAGACCCACGAGCAGTCCCCGAGTGACCGGCAGAAAAGCAACCCACAGCGCCTATTTCTGGGGACACTGGTAGTGACGGGCAGGATCTGCACCTGCCACGCCGCGTCCCCCGTCAGGAGGCTGGGTCTCCGAATGTCCCTCCCCACCAGCCTCCCACCTCTCCTCTGCTGCACTCAACACTCACGGCATGGGGAGGGACTGGAGTCCACGGTGCCAGGGTCAACTTCCTCCAGGTACAGGAAGGCGGCCAAGCGATCAAAGGACACCCGGGCCTGAGGAAGCCAGAGCCCAGCTCACCTCACAGACGAGCAGAGAGCTCAAGCCCTGCAGATGTGCACTGGAGCTCCTGCCCACCAAGCCCCGTGTGTTTGCAAAGCATGGGACAAAGCGATCCAGCTCATGGAAAACGGCGCTCATGAGGCTGCGACCATGGTGCTGGGCCCTCTCCCTCCTCCGGCTCTGAAAGAAACTCAAACAACCAAGCAACCAGTACTGCAGACAAAACCTGGGCAGAGGACGGGCTTTTCCAACTATCCTCAAGCCACAGGTGGGGCAATTCCACACTTTGTCCAGCTGGGGGCGTCAGCTCAGACACCTGCCACAAACTCATTTTGAAAACTCAAGAGGGAACCATTAAAATAGGAGCATCTGCCTGCCTGGCAAGCACAAGGTCCCGAGTTCAGTCTTCAGTGTAAGTGAGTGAGTGAGTGAGAGAGAGAGAGAGAGAGAGAGAGAGAGAGAGAGAGTGTGTGTGTGTGTGTGTGTGTGTGTGTGTGTATAAGAGGGGGCTTAGTTACACACTGTGCCTCTTTTTCAGCATGCACAGGAATCATGATGGGAACGGTCTTCAGACTAAAGGCAGAGGAATAAACTGGTTCTGTATAACAAAGGGAACTGAACTGGGCGCGGTGGCGCTTGTCTGTAACCAGCTACTTGGGTGACTGAGGCGGGAGGATCCTGTTTGAGACCAGCGTGGGCTACTTAGCAAGATTCTGTCTACCAAGGGAATCCAGTCCCAGCCCACCGGCCCCTGCGGCCGCCCCTGCCCGCACCTGGATGAGGCAGTGGGTGCAGAAGGGCAGGAAGGCCTGGGCCTTGTTGAGGATGCCGAGCACCGTGAGCGTCACGAACGCTTTCTCTGCATCCATCGCGTTCTCCTCAGCCACCAGGGTGTGGACTGCAAACACCACCAGTGCCACCTGGAGAGGCGCACAGGTGACAGGGGCCCGTGGCCCCGGCCGGATGGCCTGGCAAGCCAGGGACCCCTCCAGGAGCCTGCGTCCCCCGCCCCAGCACCCCTCCTTCAGCCCGGCGTCCGTGGGGGGGGGGACCACAGGGTCCGCACCAGAAACGTGGACACTTGAAAGGACACCAGGGACACGGAGAAAAGGAGGCTGGAGGTCCTCAAGGTGCCCAGCTCCCGGCCGCGGATGCGCAGGACCCTGTCTAGGAAGACTTCCTCCCAGCCGTGGGACTTGATGGTTCTCATGGTCCGCAGGATGGCGCTGGTGAGCCGCGCACGCGAGTCCTTCTGCCTCATCTGCTCCTCCTGGGACAAAGGGAGGAAGCGGTGAGAGTTCTCAGTCCCTGCCCGGCTGCAAACCCTGCTGCTTCTGCTTCCCCCTCCACACCGGATGATGCGGCACCCAGAGGGAGCCTCGAGGCCCTCGGGGGTGCAGGCACCGCCTAAGTGAGAGCCGCGGAGGACGGCAACAGAGGTGGGGCGCATCGGAGAGCAGGGAGACTAGAGCAGTCAGGACTCAGGGTCGGGCAGGCGGCTCCGGTCTCAGGCTCCATTGCAGAGGGGCTGTGTGGAGGCTGCCTAGGCCACCCGGGTGCTCAGAGCCCAGGCAAGGAGCCTCCTCCCTTCCTCCCTCTCCTCTGGATTCACTCTAGTCCGGGGGCGGGGTTAGCCTCTGAGATCCAGGGAGCTCGAGCACCCACTCTAAGGACAGGACCGCGACACCTGCCGGGTTCCCAGGGGACTGAAACAGCGCTGGCCAAGGAAACACAGTCCTGGGGGGAGGGCTGTGGCGGGGGTGGTCCCGGTGGAGGACAGCAGGAGCAAGGCCGGAGGTGGGGCATCTGGGGGACAGAGGGACGATGCGGAGAGGCAGGAGGGTGTCAGAAGTCACGGGGCCAGGCCCTGGGGCTGGAAGTCTGTGGCGCTGACACTAGGGCCCCGAGGGTCTGAGCAGAGGCGGCCTGGTCTATGCGCCTGTCACATGTCCCCTGTGACTGGTGAGGTGAGCCCGTATGTAGGGGTGGCACAGAACTGGGGAGTCAGCAGGCAGGGAGGCATGGCTGCCGAGACCCAGGTCAGAGCCGCTGGGCTTGGAGACCCATGGGAGGCAACGGGGCCACCCTCTGGGTAGGGACAGAGCCCAAGCCCGGAGGATGAGCAGTCACCATGCAATAACAAGGATTCCACCAGCCCCTGGGCCTCTCCCTACGTCTGGTGCCAGCACCGGCCCAGGACCCACAGGCTCCTCCCATCCCACCTGGTCCATCCCTTGTCCCCAAACCTGACGGTGGCTCCTCTTTTTGGAGATGAAGAAATTCAGAGGAAGGAGGCCCAGGAAGACAGCGATGGCGGTGAGGGCAGAGGGACCTAGGAGCTGGGGACAAAGGAGGCACAATGACCCAAGACCCCAGGGCTTTGGTCAGACGTGGGTTCTAAGGCAAGGGGACGGAGGGCCCAAGGAAGGCAGCTGAGGTCTCCAAGCTCAGGACTGGGGGTGCCCACAGAAACGACTGCTGCTGAAGATGGGGTGCACAGGGCTCAGGGTCCTGTGTGCAGATGGCCGGGTGAGGGACACTCTTGGCCTCGGGTGATCCTGAGACCTCTGGGTGTGGACCCAGTTCACCCACCACCAGTGCAGCCTTGGTAACTTGCCCACACATTGTAAGCTGCACGCCTCTGTGTAAAGTGGGAATGGTTTCTCCTGTCACCCAATGAGATTATTATTCTAATCTTCATTTTGCCCCTTAGGAGCCTTTGCCACCCTTTTTAGCAAATAACCAAAGATACTAAGATATTGTTCAGTTTGTGTGAGACTCAAGTTTAACTGGACATTTTGTTTTGTTTAGCGAACTCTCAAGAAATGTCACGTCTAGCCTGTGTCTCAGTTTCCCTTCTTGGTTTTTAAGACCATTATCTTTTCTAGGGAATTAACAGTTTGTTTCATTTATAGGGCGATGGCGCCACCTAGTGGCTCTATGGAGAAGTATCCAGAAGGTAAACGCCAAGAGCTATATGACTGGAAAAACCAACCATCCCTGGGAGAAGACAAGGCAAAACACTGTGTCAAAAATGGTGTCCTCCATCTGTAGCAACACCCATGGCTGTTCCTCTTTAACTAGGATTGCATGGTGGCACTCTGATACAGGAGTATCTTCTGGGGCGGCAGGGCTGGGGGGCTGTATAGCTAGGCTATACTGTAGGCACATATCTTGGACTCTGATTCGCCCCCTTTCCCCCCTCCTGCTCTTTCTTCAGTACTGGGGATTGAAATCCCCAGCCCTTTAAAAAAAATCTGGCCATAGCGTGTCACTAAATTTCCTAGGCTAGGCTCAAACTTGGAGTCCTCCTGCCTCAGCCTCCCAAGTGCTGGCCTGGCTTGAAAAGTTTTAAGCACCGACATGACCCAAGGGGAAAATTCCACACCTGGCCTCGTGTGGCAGGTCTCAATCAAAACCCAGGTTCACTAAAAATACTGTACAAAATTACCTTCGGTCCATGTGTATAAGACACACATAGAACAGAGATTCATTTCGTGTTTAGAATGGGTCCCGTCTCTAAGAGATCTCATCATGCACAAGTATTCCAGCACCAGAAAACAATCCAAATCTGAAATACTTCCAGTCCTGAGCACTTTGGGTCAAGGACACAGCCTGTATCAGCTCATCTATACCCTGGCAATCCTAGGCCAGAGCACGATTCCTACTTGTGACCTCTTTCTAGAGACGAGGAAATGCCACACACAAGAGGTTTCCCAACCAGAACAGTCAGAGCAGGAGTCCAACCCAGGCAGTACCAATAGAGTCTGTGATGTCAATTTGTAAAAATACTAAAACAGCAAAAGGAAGGAGGTTGGAAAAAGTTCTGATGTATTTTTGTTTTTGTTTTTCCTGATGGTTGCTTCATGCTTTTCAAACCCTAGGCAGCCATTTCTTCCCCCATTAAAATTGGTTTTTTTAAACTGTTTGTTAATGACCATGATGGCCCAGCATTACTGATAACTTCAAAGTGTGTTTAATCTGCCTCCTGCGTGCCTTGAGAACCTATCCGAGATGTATGGAGGTCATGATCACATGAGGAAACTGAGTCCCAGAGAAGATCAGTGCCCTGCTCAAGGCCAAGCAAAGACCATCCCTCTCCAAGGCTTCTGGTCACATCTGTGGGGAGGGGGGGGAGGGGAGGGGGAGGGGAGGACTCGCGCAGGGCCTGCCTCCCGCCGCACACCTGCCACAGGTAGACGAAGCAGATGGTGATCCAGAGCAGCGGCAGCCAGAGTCCGTTGAGGTAGAGGACGCTCTCGCTGAGCCGCTGCACGTCCACGGAGAGCAGGTTCACCACATCGCCCACCGCGCTGGCCTTCTTGGCGCCTTGGGACAGAACCAGGACCTGTGGGAGGGCGGAGGGAAGGTGGCGGCTTCTGTCTGCCAAGCCTGGGTTTTGCGTGTGAGCAGCCCGTGGGTGGCAGGATCTAAACCAAGCTGCAGGCCCTGGCGTGAGTCCCAAGAGGGGAAGCAAAAGTGCCCGACAGGAGCCCAGCGTGGTGGTGGGGTGAGCACCGGGTGGTCACGGCGGGAGAGCGCGCCGCGGGGAGGGGCACCCCGGGGTGGCGTCACAGGGCCTCCCGGAACCTCCACGGGGCTCTCGCCAGGGGGACCCCTCCGCCCGGCGCCGCGGCCGCTCACCTTCCGGCACAGCAGGCCCGTCATGGCCGTGCGCAACCGCATCTGCAGCACCTTGAGCCGGTACATGTGCTGCTGTTCCAACAGCGTCTGCAGGCCCGCCGAGAGCAGCATCAGCACCGCCAGCAGCGAGCCCTGCCAGGCGGGGGACCGCGGGTCGCCCATGAACTCCAGGAACAGGCTTGGGGTGGGGGGAGAGGGGGACAGCAGCTGAGCTGAGGGCGGACGGGGTCCCCACAGAGGCCTGATGGCAAAGATTCCCTAACCCAGCCGCAATGGGGTCCTCCCCAGGGACACTCGGACGGAGACCCCACGTGCCGAGGACACTGAGGACAGAGCGGGAAGGGGCCCACCGCAGCTTCATCCGGAACCCGGGAAAGACAAAGATCTGTTGTTTGCACCCCCCGTTCTTCTGTGGCTCTTGCTGTGGCAGCCTAACACTCCAGCCTGCTTTATTTTTATTTTTCTGTACTAGGGATTGAACCCAGGGCCTCTGCTCTGAGCTATATTTCCCAGGTCTTTTTTTTATTTTTGAGACAGGATCTTTCTAAGTCGCCAAGTTGCCCGGGCTGGGCTGGAACTTGTGATCCTCCTGCCTCAGCCTCCCAGAATGCTGGGATGACAGGCGCGTGCCACCTCACCTGGCTGCTCCAGCCCTTGAATCTGAGACGGCCCACCGCCCCAGAGGCAGTGAGTGTGCCACATGCAGCCTGGGCCCCTAGAGAAAACACGGCTTTTGTTCTGCCTTCTGGAACCTTCCTAGTGAACACTCCTGAGCAGCCTTTGGAAGGATGGGAACTGCGTCGCGCAGGGAGGAGCCATCCAGATTCAACCACCTTGGACATGATGTCTCAGGTCGGCCTCTCAGCCGGTCACAGGTGGGGGCGCTCCGGGTCATCCCCACCGAGCAGGCGCCCGGGCTCGAACCCTTCACCCCGGGGACCCTGTGTGCAGCTGACCACACAGGACAGGACCCTGCTGTTTGTCCAGCTCTGTCTCTTCCCTCCCTGCAGCCCTCCCCCCACCCTCGGGGCACCGCAGAAACCGGGGAGGCCGGCGCCCCTGGCCTGGAACAGCAGCCGGGCCTCCAGCTCAGCCAGGTCCAGGCCAGTCCTACCTGAGGAGCTTGGGGACCGCGAACCGGAAGGCGTCGGCGAGGAGGAGGCAGAGCGTGCCCAGGAGGAAGGAGCCTCGGAACACCCTCCAGA